GTCTTTGGCTTGCAGCCTGGAGAGCACACTTCATCACGCCGGGCAGCCTGTCAGTGACTCACAAACTTTGCCTTGCACCACTAGTTCCTTCTCTCCTGGTTGCCATAGTTACTGCTCACAACTGTCATCCCAGCCTAGGAAGAAGCTTGCCTGGCTCTGGTCTCAAGCTGAGGCAGTCCCTTTCCTTATCTCCTTCCAAGAGAAATTATGACAGATCTGGGTTTCACTGCATTTAACTTAGGAGCTCGGTAATACCGAGCAAATGATAGAATCTTGGAGCCTCACTTTCCTCATTTCAAAATAGGGCAAACAATGATATCTTTCTCATATAGTTGGAAGAATGGAGACAGTACGCTGGGGCCAGGGTCTGGTACACATGAAGTTACTTCTCAACAAATCAAATTTAGTGGGTTGTGTGTTTGTTGTTTTTTTTTTTTTTTGCTGTTGTTTTTGCTTTATGGGCTTCAGTTTGATTTGGAAAAATGAGCATAATAATGGAAAACTTTCTAACACTGTCATGAGAACCAAATGATATGTATGTATAATGGTTATGTTTTTCTGTAATTATTGTAAAAACTTGGACATTTCTTGATTTTTGCAATTTTTTACTTAAGCTTTTTTTTTTTTTAATTGTACCCATCATAGGGCTTGAACTTATGGACTGGGTGCTGTCCCTGAGCTTTTTTGTTATTATTGTTGTTCTTGTCTTTTGCTTTCTGCCGAAGGCTAGCGCTCTACCACTTAAGCCACAGCTCCACTTCCAGAGATGAGTCTCACAGATTTTCCTGCCTGGCTGGCTTCTAACCTGCAGTCCTCAGATCTCAGCCTCCTGAGTAGCTAGGATTACAGGCGTGAGCTTTGGGCACCGGCTTCATTTAAGCTTTTACTTACCTATTTGGGGAGAGTGTTTAATCTCAATTGTGGTTTGTGACATTTCTGTTCTCTGTATTTATCTATGCATTTCTGTATATCTGGGATAAGGCCTCTGGCCTTTGGATCATGGTGGTTATTATTGGTATGCACCTTATGCAAGGGGGTGTTTCCTGAGGCTCTAGGGTCTGCTCTGGCACAGTGATCATTCTCCAGATTCCAAGACTCAATTCACAGAGTTCTCTATCTCGAACTCACTGTGAGAGTGGGATTCAGCCCTTTTTCCCCCCGAGACTGTGACTGACAGAATTTTGTATTCAGATGTGATTCTCATCAACATGGCAGTTGTAACTGAGGTTAATAGTTAGCTGACCTTAAAATAGAAAAATCCTTATGGAGTATTCAAGTGGACCTAATCTAGTTAGATGAGCTGTAAAAAAGAAGAGGTGTTTCTCTCAGTCTGGTTGTAGAAGTGGAACACTTGTACAATGGGAGAGATTTAATGTGCCTTGGTTGGCCTGAAGATGCCATGTATCAAGGAAACAGGAAGCTCAAAAAGATGGAATTCTGGCAGTGGCATGAATAATCTGGGGAGCAGATTCTCTCTCTCTCTGTCCCTCTCCCTCTCTCTCTCTCTCTCTCTCTCTCTCTCTCTCTCTCTCTCTGCCAGTCCTGGGGCTTGAACTCTGGGCTTTGAACTCTGGGCCTGGACACTGACCCTGAGCTTCTTTTGCTCAAGGCTAGCACTCTACCACTTGAGCCACAGTGCCACTTCTGGCTTTTTCTGTTTATGTAGTGTTGAGGAATCAAACCCAGAGCTTCAGGCATGCTCGGCAAGCACTCTACCACTAAACCACATTCCCAGCCTGAGGGAGTAAATTCTCCAGAGGCTTCAGTTAAGAGCCCAACTTCTCATTACCATACTCATGTAATTGTAACCCCTCTGTACAGTATTTTTACAATAAAACACACACACACACACACACACACACACACACACACACACACAGAGCCCAACTTGCTTAACACCTTGACTTCAGTCTTGAGAAATCTAAATAGAACCTGTGTTTCTGCCTCACAGAACTGGGAGGTAATCAATGATTGCTGCTTAAAATTTGGAAATATGTTACAGTAGGGGGAAAACAAAAACAAACCTAATAACTTCAAGGATGTCATACATTTTTTCAGCCTTGGGATTCTTTCTTCTTAGGTCCGTAGCTTGTTTCTTCCATTCTAAGCCCTTGCAGGTAGATACACTTTATCTCTAAATGACTTGTTGGTGAAAAACCTAGGCTTTCACAAACAATATCTAAGGCAGAGACTTTTTAATCATTTCTTTTGTTTTCCCTCCCTCCCTTTCTCCCTTCCTTTCTCCCTTCCTTTCTCCCTCCCTCCCTTCCTTCCTTCCTTCCTTCTTTCTTTCTTTCTTTCTTTCTTTCTTTCTTTCTTTCTTTCTTTCTTCCTTCCTTCCTTCCTTCCTTCCTTCCTTTCTTTCTTTCTTTCTTTCTTTCTTTCTTTCTTCCTTTTTCTTCCTTTCGCTGGTCTTGGGGCTTGAATTCATGGTCTGGATACTGAATACTAGTGCTCTACAATTTGAGCTACAGCTCTACTTCTGGCATTTTGCTAGTTAATTGGAGATAAGAGTCTCATTGACTTTCCTGCCCAGGCTGGCTTAGAACTGAGATCCTTACATTTCAGCCTCCTGAGTAACTAGGATTACAAGCATGAGCCACTGGAATTTAGCTTCTGTTTTTGACCCTACAATTCAAAAGAGTTTATGTTTAAGGGCTGTAAAGATTTAGGTATCTTCTTATGGTAAGGGGAGGGATAAAATGTTTAAACACCTAAATGACTATTTAATAAAATTTCTTGCCACATATTTGTCTTATACGTACTATGTATATCACTACATGATATATACTATCCACATATATACATAGTATATATACTTATATATACACGACATATACATATACATAATACATACTATATACGTATGTACATAGTGTATATACCATATTTGCTTATATACACTATGTATGTTATATATTCTATGAATATCAAACACTAATGTTTGATACATATTAATTAATATTTTTTTCATTTACTCCAGGAAGTTAAAATTGTGTTCATTTCTGCCCATCCTGGCCTAACTTTACCCCCAGGAGTAGCATTTTCTGGCAGAGAAAAATGAATATCTGACCTGGAAGAGTGTTTTCTGCACTTAGAATATGCCAAACAGCCAGCTGTCATTCTGTGCCATAAACCAGGATTCTAGGTCGTGGTAGGAAGCACTTCTAAAAGAGCCTTCACTGGGGATAGACATACACTGTGTCATGTGTCAACAAAAAGCTTATTCTCAGTTCCATGAATCCTCAGGTACCATCAAAATGGCTTTATAGAACACCCTTCTATTCTGGTTCAACAGGATTTGAAGTCAGAGATAGTAGAACAATCTGAGAAATGCTCAAACATTTTCCAATGTGAGGCATGTATCTGGTTCAACATTCCTCACTTTGGTTAACAAACAGTATCTGTGGTATTTATGCATCTGCTATGTGCCAGGCACAATTTTGGCCCTAACAAGACCTAATGTCGGCCTTGTGAATCTTACACCTTGTAAAGAAGACATCACAGAAGAACTACATAATTTTAAATAATTCAAGAAAAAAAAATCTCTCCTGTGACTTGTCAGTCACTCAGTTATACATATAAAGTTTAACTTAACAAGTTGAGTTCTTTTTAAAATACTACCAAGTTGGAAATGGAAATGTGGTTCAAGTGGTAGAGCATCAGCTTTTAGTGAAAATGCTAAGGAAAGTGCCCTGGCCTTGAGTTCAAGCCCCAGTGCTGGCAAAATTAATGATAATGACAATGACAATAATAATAGATAATATAAAATAAAATACCATCTAGCACATCTCAGATCCGAAGACATGGAAATGATGTCAAACTTCCTTAACATCTTTCCTGCCCTAAACCAGTAACTTCCAAATGTACCAAAGTTACTCCAAAACTCCCAAAATGTTCATCCTCATCTCTAGTGTCCTTGATCATGATATTCCACTCCATGTAGTCTATACTCTCCCTTCTCTATTTTGAGATAATACTTTTTTTCAAAAGGAGGGCTTGATACTGGACAGCTCCAACATCTGGTAGAGATAAGACATGACCAGGAAAAAGATATAGGGAGGTAATGTCCCCTTGGAAATGACTCTGAATGCAGGAAAACTTTGGCCTTAGGAGCCAGGCCTGGGACAGAAGAAGAAAAAAGAAGAGATATCTGCTTTGGCCCATAAATTATATGGAACCCCTAGCGTTCACCATGCTGAAAACCGATGCTGTAGTGTGGGATCTGATGGGCAGCCTAGGCATGTGAATATATCCATACAAGCCTGTGCACATTTACAGTCATGTCATGAATAAACTTTCTTCTCTTTGACTCAGTACTGATTCTCTATTTTCCAAGAACCCCAGCATTTTGGAATCCCTCTTTTGACAGCTACTATTCAGCTTGTGCCTCTCACCTCTGTGACTCAGAATTCCAACAGAATTCATCCTGACCCACCGCTGACTTTGCTCTTTCTTTCCAGTCCACAGATGCTTTGTAAAGAGGTGAATACTTTATTGAAGTGCATCTTGAAGGGTACACTCACCAACCACCCACATAAGGAATATTCAAAGAATACCTTGGACTGGGCAAGCTCTGGATGTGCTTTTGTGCCTTTACAAACATATGAACACCTGTGGGGGTGATTCTATTGCTATGTGAGTGTCAGCAAATGTGTGCTTAGGAGATGCATGATGGAATATGTACATAGTTTAGAGTCTGCAGGTGTTAGACGTGAAGAAGCATATGTGCTCTGAGAATAGGAATTATAGAACACTATGTGGAATGTACAGTCTTATGCCAGCATGTATATGTGCATCTCTGTGTGTGTGTGTGTGTGTGTGTGTGTGTGTGGTAACTGGTGAGTGTGAGATGAATGTGTGCTATACTCTCACATCTCTAGCTGGGCATCTATGGACCAATTCAGTCAAGTTGTCTATGTCTATGACCTGGTGAAAGGCTGGCAGAATTTCTGTAGGTAAGCTTTCTTACAACTCTAGACCTAGGGTCAGGGATGAGTTCATTGTGGGCCTAGGGGTTTTTCTCCATCCTTGGAAGTTCCCTCCCCGGGCTCGCCTTCATCATCAGCCTCTACCACATACTCAGGCATTGGCCACTCTCGGGTCTGCCACTCCAGCCTTTCGATGCGGTAAGCAATCTTGAGTGCGCTGGATTCCAGCTCAGCCAGGAGGCGAGCAAACTTGGTCTGTAGATCATCAAGCTGCTGGTCGAGACCTTTCAGCCGGGACTCAGTGGCTTCCTGTAGGGCAATCTCAGCCGCCTCAGCATTCACATCCAATTTGTTCATTTTGAGCAGGATCTCGCGGCCCTTTTCCTCCATGACAGTCTGGGCTTGTGGATACTCACTCAGCACCTCCCGCAGGTCCTCCTTGCTCAGGCAGAACAAGTCTGAATAACCCAGGCTCTTGATGTTGGCTGTACGGCGGTTCCCAGACATGTTTCCTGTGGCCCGTGGACAGACAGGTGGGAGGATAGTTAGCAGGGGTGCAGGGAGGTGATATTTCACTCCACAACTAGAACCCCACTTTCTCATTAATTCTTTCATTCAATAACATACTGGTGGCCAGGGCCCTGTGCTACCAGCCTCAAAGAGTTCACCATGTAGAGGAGATAGGCATTTAATGGGATAGTTACAGAATTGTATGGCAGTTGCTGTGCCCATTGGGAACTGTGGGAAGAACCCCTGCTAAACTGCAAGGCTGGGACTTTAGGGAAGTCTGAGGGAAGAGATGCCTGAATTAATTAGAGGATATGGGTAGGAGGATGGCAATTGTACCAGTGGAGCAAAGGGATGGAGGTAGAAAAGGTGGATTTTAGCTAGGTGCTGGTGGCTCATGCCTGTAATCCTAGCTATTCAGGAGGCTGAGATCTGAAGATCCAGGTTCGAAGCCAGCCTGGGTAAGAAAGTCCATAAGACTCTTATCTCCAATTAACCACTAGAAAACTGGAAGTGGATCTGTGGCTCAAAGTAGCAGAGTGTTAGCATTGAGCAAAAAAAGCTTAGGGACAGTGCACAGGCTCTGAGTTCAAGCCCCCTGACTAACCCCTTCCCTGCCGCCCCCCCCCCAAAAAAAAAAGAAAAAAAGAAAAGGTGGATGTAGAAGACATATATGGTTCAGAGGGGCTTAAGTACAGGGTGTAGAGAGAATGGAAAGACAGAGTCAGGTCACTCTGGACTCTATAAGCCAATGCAAAGCATTTAGATTCTCTGCTGAGGACAATGGAAAACTATCAGAATCTTTTAAACAAGAGAAGAGAACTGAATGGGATCATTTGCATTTCAGAAATTTCCCTGTGATGAGATATAACATATCCTACTACATAGGGCTGAAGAGAGGAAAAACAAACTACTGTGTAGTATCTGGCCTGGCCTACAGTTAATGATCAGTAAATAAGAATTTCTTCTCTTCTCTTTCATCCTCCCCTCCCCAACTACACACACACACATACACACACACACACACACACACACACACCTCTACCTGGCTATGAGAAAGCTATTCTTTGTACTGATCCCAGTTCTGTATATTTGCTCCTTTTGTAACTTTGGGCAAGTTACTAGCCCTCTCTGATCTTCTATTTCCTTTCAAATGAGGATCACTACTACCAAGTTTACAGGACTATGTGAGAATTTAATAAAATGATCCACGTGAAATACTCAGAACAGGGTGAGTGGTTAGCATGTGAGAAGTGACAGCTATTGTTATTACTGTTTCCTCCATTGGTCTGGGTTTGTCTTCTTCCACTGGTTTGTCTGTACCTCAGTTGTTGCCCACAGGACATATACTCCATTTTCCAAGGACCTGCCCAGCATGCTGACCTTTGTGCAGCTTTTTCTCAGGGAGCAGATTTCTCTCTCTTTCTCCCTCCCCCCTCCCTCTCTCTCCCTGGAGCCCTATGTGAGCAAATTTCCTTACTTTACATACCCTTAAAATATCATCTTGTCATAGCATTGGGTTCTGCTAATCCCATTCTCTTCTCCAGTGTTCTCCCCAAGACAAATGCTCAGGATCTTACCTTTGATGTTGATGATGCTGATCTCCCCAAAGTAGAGCCCTGCACCCAGTACAGCATACTGTGTGACACCGTCATCTGCCACCACAGCCAGCTGGCCTTCGCGGATGATGTACATCTCTCGTCCGATGTCTCCCTTGCGGCATACATATTCACCTGGTGAGTAGGTCTGGGGCTGCAGTTTCAGAACCAGCTCCTCCAGCAGGCTGGCCTCACAGTTCTGGAAGATCTGTACCCGGCTCAGAGTAGACAGGTGTACAGACACTGCCACTTCTGCTCTTAGGCGCTCAGGCAAGTGTTGTAAGATGGCTACTTCATTGGTCATCTTCTTGTTGATCTGCAGGTGCTGGTACCTGGAAGAGAGGCAGAAGCATTTCCTGATCAGCACTATCCATGCCAGCCTCCATCCTTTCCATCAGAATTCAGCTCAGCCAAGAGCCAACCATAGTGAGGCGTCGAAGGGGCCATAGGAGTTGGGAATAGCTACCTGATCTTTCTTAGCCAGACTTCTACTTTATTTAAGGCATAGAAGATCTCTGTCACTTGACAAGGAATAATATCATAGAGTCAGCCATCTGTTGGCCAGTCTCAGAGAGCAAGGTACAGGGTGGTAGGGAAGGTAAAGAGTAGGCAAGGTGGGCTGGGAAGGTGGCTCAGTGGTAGAGTGCTTGCCTTGCATGCCTGAGGCCCTGGGTTTGATTCCTCAGTACCACATAAGCAAAAAGAAAAAAGCCGGAAGTGGTGCTGTGGCTCAAGTGGTAGAGCGCTAGCCTTGAGCTGAAGAGCTGAGGGACAGCACCCAGGCCCAGAGTTCAGGCCCCAGGACTGGACCCCCCCCCCCAAAAAAGAGTAGGCAAGGTAGTGGGATGAGGAGTGAGGGGGTGGGGTGAGGGAGGGAAGAGTAAGGAGGTGCAGGGGTAAGGAGTGAGGGTGTGGAAAGGTGAACAATGAGGAAGGAGGGGTGAGCGTTGAGGAGGTGGTAGGATAATGCCCCTTTTCATTAACTCCTTCCCCAGGCTTCTGAGCCATTGTCTAGATCCAATAGATCTACCAGTGATTATCACTTTGTTTGTTTGTTTGTTTGTTTCCCCAGTCTGGGACCTGAACTCAGGGCCTAGGTGCTGTCCCTTAGCTTTTTTTTTTTTAAGCTCAAAGTGCTCTACCACTTGAACCACACCTGATCTCTTCCAGCTTTCTGGGTGGTTAATTGGAAGTAAGAGCCTCTTGGAATTTATCTCTCTGTGATTCTCAGCTCTCAGCCCCCTGAGAAGCTAAAATGCCAGGCGTGAGCCACATGGTGATCTCCTTGGAGGAGAAGCAGTTAAGTTCTGGCACAATGCACTTCCCTGACCTGGTCCGGGAACGCTGTGCGCTCACCAATCAATCACGCGTCTCTCCAGCCTGCGGTTCACATGATGGAGCTTCATGTACTTCTTCACCAGCGCGTGGTCGGGGTAGAAAGCCGCATCGGCCGTGTTCATGTTATAGATGACAGAGCTCATGCTACCCATGATGGTGGCGAACCCCATGACGGCCAGCAGGAAGTCGCCCACCATGAAGAGGTACTCCTCTTCGCGCGCGGGCAGTGGCGTGTCGCCCACGGTGGTGAGGATCAAGGTGGAGAAGTAAAAGCTATAGAGGTACTGGCGTCGCAGGCGCTCAAAGCCAGGCTGCGCGGGGTCCGGGTACACCCATGCATCGCGCCCGAAGCCCAGGTACCGGGACAGGGCAAAGTAGAGACAGCTGTTCCAGTGGATGACCACAAAGATGTACAGCATCAGCTTGGCGATGCGGAAGGCGTTTGGGTAAGCCGTGCGCGTCTCAGTGCGGTCGAAGGCCTCGAAGAGACGGGGCACCCGCAGGAAGCGGTTCAGTCGCAGTGTGGGGATGTGCGGGCCCAGCCGCACATAGGCCGCGTCGGTGGGGACGAGGGAAGCCACGTCCAACAGGAAGCTCGAAGTGCGCACATAGCGACCCGCAATCCTACTTTTGTCCTCCACAAGGATGCCCTGGTCTAAGAATCCTGGGGGGGGGGGGGGGGGGGCGGGAGGGTGGGTGGGATGGGGTGGAGCGGGGGGTGGGGGGTGGACAGAGACAGGATAGGCCAGGGCCAAGGAGGGAGAGCCAGGAAAGGATGCGTGTATATAACCATCCACAAGTGGATGGCACAGAAGAGGCCTAGTAAAGTGCTATCACAGACCCTCCCCCCTTTCTTACTAAAAGACATTTTTTTTGGGGGGGGGGGGTTATGGAACAAAGGGTCAGGCCCAGGGGCTCACTCACCGGTGTGGAAGCGCACCAAGATATCCAGTAGGTACAGCAGGTCACTTGTGTAGTCCAGCACAAACCAGACAATAAGATAGCCATGCTGCAAGTCGGGAAAGCAAGCTCTGCAGGGCAGGAACAGAAGGGACTGGCTTAAAGGCAGCTTCTGTAAGGTGCCAAAAGGTGGCCTAGGCCAGCTTCCCCAGAACTCTGCCTTGGGCCTTTCCCTGGCTTCATCCAACTCCTTCCTCCCCACCCACAAGCCCCAAGCCTCACTTACAGCCTCATCCCCATTTAAGGCTCCTCCTCTAGTATTCCACTCAAGTCCCCTCCCCCTCAACTCCAGACCTCCCTTTTAGCCCTCACCCCCCTTTAAGACCCCTTGTCTAGTGCTCCTCCAAACCTGCACACTATGATGATGAGGTTGTACATTACTGGGAAGACCATGGTGTTCAGCCACCAGTAGTAGTAATCCCCAGAGGGGTCCAGGACAGGCAGTGTTTTCCTGTGGGTGAGAAGGGTAGGAATTGCTTCATTTATTCACCAGACATTTCATATTGTGGTTGTGACTGGAGGTACCAAGAGGAATGAAAGAGTGAGCAGATCACCTGCAGAGGACAGGATGATGACTCCTCACCTGGCTTTTGATGGGGCAGAGGGGCTGGACTCTGTGGTCTTCACTTTGCTGTCCTGGCTCATGATGTGGTCTTGGTATGCACAATATCCACCCTTCTGTCTGTAGAGGGCTTGCAGAGGTGGGAGCTGGTATCAAACTGCCTGGAATAGGCTATCCTGGGGCTCCCGCTGTGACTTCTCTCTGTCTTTGAAGCTCTTAGCAACACAGCCAAGGCTCACAGTTACTGAAAGGGTGGAGACACTGTAGCTCTAGAGTCTCACCCTTGTCCCTGTCTCCCAGGGCCTTGGCTTACACCTGCCCAGCTAAACACCTTTAATGAGGTCCCTGGAGATGTTGTGTGCGTGCATGCAGGGGTGTGTGTGTGTGTGTGTGTGTGTTGTGTGGCAGGGGTGCATGCTTCAGGAGGAAGCATGGTCCTTGTTTCTTTCTCCTCGTCCTTAACGGCAGGATGAGCTTATATGGGGGGCCTTCTACGAGAGGAGAACCGAGTTTTAATGTAGGTTCACTTTGTTTTTACCTTGTCCAAGTTCCCGGCTTAGGCCTATTTATTTAACACCTATTGGCTGAATGGATCCTCTGTGTCAGCTGCTAAACTAGTCTCCAGGGACAGAGATGCCTCACATGTCAGAAACGAACTCTCTTTTCATTACTGACTTCCATGTTTACCTAACCTCATTCCTGCTGGAGAATGTGATGCAGCCCATCGAATGATGCTTTTGTCACCCTTCTTTTCCTGTCATCTCTGGTGTCTGATCCCACTAGCTATTCCATATGATTTCTGGATCTTCAGCTTCTTTCATTTGTGGCTTTTCTGTGAACATCTCTTTCATTCCTAAACAAAATTCATATCATTTCTCCCTCAAAGTAGGTCATTACTGTGCTAAGTGAACAGGACATACCTTGTGCCCTCCAGAAGCTTACAGTACAATTAGAGGTAGACAGGTAATTACACAGGGGCAGTTATTGCCAGTACAGATAAATATTGCTAGGTAAATGTACAGATGGTTTCTTATTGTGGTAACAGGAAAGTTCCCAACTGAGCTGGGCTCTGCAGGATGAACAGGAGTTAGGCATAGAGATAGGATAGTGAAGAATATTAGGGGTAAAATTATGGTGGCTTTTTTTTAAAAAAAAAAAAGAGGACAAGACAGGGAGGAATAGTGGTCAAAAGATGAGGTTGAATGATGGGCAGAAGCAGTTTAGGGAGGGCTTTGAAGACACTGGAGTGTTTTGCAGTTAAAGGATGATGTCAGATTATTTCTGGATAGTTTCTTGGAAGGCACACCTATAGTCCTCCATTGGTCTTTTGTTTTTATTCTTTTCTCTATAGCTCTGTTATGTCATCATTTTTTCCCTCTGTTTATTTGTTCTTGGCCTCTTTTATAGGCTCCACTGCCTATTCTAAGTTTTTTTTTAAGACTCTGTTGTAGGATCTCTCTCTCTCTCTCTCTCTTTCTCTCTCTCTCTTTCTCTCTTTCTCTTTCTCTCTCTCTCTTTCTCTCTCTCTCTTTCTCTCTCTTTGTTGGCCGGAGCCTGAACCCAGGGGCTGGGCACTGTCCCTCAGCTCTTCAGTTCAAAGCTAACTCTCCACCACTTGAGCCACAGCTCCACTTCTGACCTTTTCTGCTTATGTGGTACTGAGGAATCGAACCCAGGGCCTCATGCATGCAAGGCAAGCACTCTACCACTGAGCCACCGTCCCAGCCCCTGTCGGCCCTCTTTTTTCCTCCTATCCTTGATTGCTGGGTGTTCTTGGTTACCCACAGGATACCTTGCCGTTTAGAGGCTCTCGAGAACTCTCCCTGGGCTGCAGTTATTCATGTGACTAACTACACACTATATGTCACTACAGGGATATCCCAGAGTCCTCTTCACCTGTAACTGAGCTCATTCCTTCTCCTACTCATTGCCCTGTAATCTCTGTCTCTGTCCTTTCAGCCCCAAACTTAAAACTAGTATTTGTTATCATTGTATAACATTGTGGAAATTAAAAAATTCTCTGATGCACATCCCCTGTGACTGGTTTGACTCACAGTATAGAGTAAGAGTGATGTGGTGTGACTTCTGAGGTTAGATCATAAAAATCCATTTTGCTTACTTCTGGTACTCTTGGCATGCTTGCTGTCTAGTAGTGTGCTTTCTCTCTCTCTCTCTGGAGGTTCTCCTTGGCAACCTTCCAACCACAATGTGGACCCTATTTAACAACGCTTCAGTCTTTGAGTTGCCCCAGCCCAGACATGACACGTGATTCCATATGATTCTAACCTCTAGTCCCAAACCATCCACAGACATATGAGTTTCCTAGACAGGGTTCTAGAGATCATAACTCAGAGACAAACTATTCCTATCATATCTTTTTGGAATTCTCAGAATTGGATAGCATAAGAAAATAGTGACTAATTCCTTTGTACAACTTCTTAAAGATAATAAAAACCAAAAAAGAAAATAGCAATTGATTTATGACACTAAGTTGAGGTGTTTTGTTACACAGAATATGGTTTGAATCGTAATCCTCCAAAGGTTGTGTGTTGAAGGCCTGGTGGACAGCTGATGGTGGTTTTTAGGAAGTGGTAGAATCTTTACATGATGGGGCCTAGTAGAAAGATGTTAGGTTTTTAGGGTGTGTCTTGAAGAGAAGGCATTGGGACCCTGGCCCCTTCCATTCATATTCTCTGCTTCCTGAAGTGAACAGCTTCTCTGCCATGTACCTGTTCCCTGCCATGATGGTCTGCCTCACAGCAGGCCCAAAGACATTGGGGCTAAGTGGTTATGGACTGAAATCTATGAAAGTCTGAGCGAAAAGAACCTTTCTTATTCTTTTTGTCTATCTCACGTGTTTTTAAACATATTGAAATAGAAGCATTTTCTAAGCAGGTAGCTTGATAAGTTTTGACAATTGAACATGCCTGTGTATTAGCACTCACATTGAGAAACAAAGCATTACCAGTTTCAGGAGTTACACTCTTCCCCCTTCCAGTCAATGTTTTTCCCAAGGATAAGTACTGCTCTGACTAGTAATAACATAGTTCAATTTTGCCTGTTTTTAAATTCATATAAACTACCTATGTTTAATAGTTCTTTCCATTCATTTTCACCCAGTCATAAAACCCTGCTAATGTCTACATATCCACTTCTCTACATTCTTATCCTATTTTAGGCCTCTTGAAGGACCTCTGGCAGTGATCCCTCGCTAGCAATCTGACCGTGTATAAAATTCTTTAAATCCCTGTTCCAAGGATAAAATCTAAACTCCTGCCATGGCCTACAAAACTTTCTAGTACCTGACATCTGTTACTGTTTTCAGCTTCATTTGACCTTTCCTGTGTATATTCCCCGGGCTGTGCTGATTGCAGAGCTTTAGAGCACCCTTTACACGCTGTCCATTCTTTTTTGCCTTTGTATATGTTAATCCTTTGGGCTGCAACTTAACATTTCTTTTTTTTTTCTTTTCAAATGTTTTTTATTTTTATTTCAGATAAAGTCTAGTTGTCTGGTTTTCATGTTGGCTCTATGATTATATAAGATGATGATGGCATTAGGAGAAAATGGGTAGGGGTACTATTTTTGCAACTTTTCTTTAAATCTAAAATGACCATTTCTTTAAGTTTATGTCAGCATCAAACAGCCTCTCTTGATAATCTTCCCTAAACACAGTGACTCTTCTTTCCCTCTTATTCCCTGGGCACATAAATCATCCAAAAGTGCTGATCTGACTTAGCTTCTACTATAGATTTTACTACACTGTGGTGTGATTGTCTGTATCTGGTTAAAAGTCTGAGGCCCTGTAGGCAAAGGCCAGTTCTAATTGATTTGGAATTTAGACTTGTCATTTAGGCACTTAATCCTTGATTAAAAAGTACCCAAGGGGTATAGAATAGTTGCAGTAGTCAGGGAGAGGCGGCCATTACCAGGGTTTTTAAGGAAAAAGGGAAGCTATGCATGCAGGTAGGGCAAATGAGCTAGTGCCCTTGCAGTTCTCTCGGGGGGGGGGGGGGGGGGGGGGTCCACTTTTCTACAGGCCTTGCCCACCTGCTGACTCCGCCCCAGGACCTACGCTTTAAGGATAGCCACTCCCACTGCAGTGCATTCCTCCACCCTAGGCACCGCCCAGGGCTCGTGGGACCGCCCCTTGCTCACCCTTCTCCGAAGCCCAGCCCTCCTGGTCTTTCCCTGCCTCGGGAAGTCTCCTCCCTCTGCCCTCTCTGGTTCGACCTTTCCTGGCCAGGCTCCGCCCCCCGTCCCGCGGGCTCCTCCTCCCTAGAGGTCTGCTCCTATGACACTTCGGAGTCCTTTTGATGGGCGGGGTTTCCAGCGTTGAGGGGCGGGGCCTGGCGTGACGGGGTGGGGAGAAGGAGGAGAGGCGGTATTCCTTCCTTGGAATGCCGTCGGCGACCCCGCCCCAGCGCTCCGCCGTTGCTAGGTAACAAGCGTCGACGCTCGGACTTTCGGCCCGGTTCAGCCAATGAGCGGGCACGCCATTGCTCAGTCGTGCGTCGCTGGGCGGTTACGTGTGGTGCGCGGGGGCGCGAGCTGCGTGTGGCGCGGGGCGGGGCGCGGCTGGTGCGCCTGAGGAGCGATGGCGGCGGCCTGAACTCACCTAGCACCCGCCGGGAGGACAGGCCTTGGTCAGGGTCGGCGTTCTGAGTGTGGACGGTATGCATGGGCCTCCGGGCTCGGACAGACGTTTCAGGGCCGGAGGGGCTAGGGAGTGCTGGCACCCAGGTTTGGTAACTACTGGTTGAGGGGACGCGGGGTGCGGGGTTGGCAGGTGGGGAGGGTCCGTGTCTGAGGCAGGGGCGCAGGTCGAGAGCCGAGGGGTGAATGGACGAGTCCGAGACGCCGAGCGGCCAAGTTGAAGGAAACTCGTGTGCATGTTTTACATAGGGACCGGGCTGAGGAGGGCAAGGGTGAGGGACAGTCCTGGGACAAGAGCTAGGGGGTGAGGCCTATGCGAAGGTGGGGGGAGACTAGAAGGGCCAAAGGGGGAGCCTGGGGTGTGTGGAGGCGAGGCGATGAGAGGGGCTGAAGGCAAGACCGGGGGGGGCTGGGGAGAGATGAGGATCTGGGGTTGGTTTTGGGGCCTCCTTGGATGGACTGTCTTGTCCATGGAAAGCAATAGTGTGAGACCAAGTCGGACAGTGTGGGTGAAGTATTGTGCACTTGGCTCCTCTGCTCCTCATGGATCCTATTATTTCTTTTTGGAGGGGTGGGGGGAGGGATTGGGTGGATTGATGAGAAGAAGAAAGCATCATGAGCAAGAGTAGCTACAATAATGAAAGGCAGTGTTAAGCCTCATTCACAAGCAGAGGGATGATTGGAACCTCAGATCCTCAAGTTCTTCCTTTTGATGGAAAAAAAAAAAAGTGGGCCCTCATGAAGGTGGGCTCTCATAAATACTTTTCCTCTTTTTTTTTTTTTTTTTGTTACGATTGTGTTTTATTTTCTCCACCTGCTTCTGGATACTTTATTCCACCGTGGATCTTTTCCTGTGGTTGTGGTGTATATTGGACTGACTGACCACTTTCAATCGCTAATTCCACTTTTATGGAAGTTATGTAGTTTGTCATATACAGCACTATGTTTAGGCATGCTCTCCTTGTCTTATCGAAGTAAATTTATTTACATAAACTGCTCCTATTCAAAGTGTACATTTTATGAGTTCAGGCGTATATACATATTTGTGAAACCATTCGAACGTATGAAGCATTTCTGCCACTTCCAAAAGTTTTGTCCTGGGGCTGGGAAGGTGGCTCAGTGGTAGAGCGCTTGCCTTGCATGCCTGAGGCCCTGAGTTCGATTCCTCAGCACCACATAAGCAAAAAGAAAAAAAAGCCGGAAGTGGCACTGTGGCTCAAGTGGTAGAGCGCTAGCCTTGAGCTGAAGAGCTGAAGGACAGCGCCCAAGCCCAGAGTTCAGGCCCCGTGACCGGACCCAAAAACAAAAAACAAACAAAAAGTTTTGTCCTATTCTTTGCAATTCATCTCTCCTACCATACCTGTAATTGAGTTCACTTTATTAATACTTTGCAAGCCTCTTCCTCCACCAAACGTACATACACCCATGTTGTAAATTTGGGGAAGTTGGAGTGTTACTCAATGATAATGGTCACTTTCATGCCAGTAAATTTTCCTTTCTACTGACAGTCTGCCATGGAGCTGAGACATCTTGATTCTCTCTCCAATCTCAGGAAGAGTTAGGCCATTTCTATCCAGAGCATTCTCTGCCTCTGTCTTCATTCTGTTCTAGAGTCTCAGCCAGGCTAACTCTTCAGAGGAACCTATTCTGTCTGTGGTAGATCTTCATACTGGTTGAATCGTTGGCGGCCTGAACTCTTGGCATCAGAACTCTGTAGAACCTATGTGTATAACACAGGACTTAGAAGAGGTTTCTAAACACTGGGCCAAGAACCAGTTTATAATAGTTTTCATTCATACAAGATAGGAAGCAGAGCAACAAGGACAACATAGTAAGTTTTTTTTTAATGAAAATAATTTTACCTTTTTTTTTTTTTTGGGTCCGGTAGTGGGGCCTGAACTCTGGGCTTGGGCGCTGTCCCTCAGCTCTTCAGCTCAAGGCTAGCGCTCTACCACTTGAGCCACAGCGCCACTTCCGGCTTTTTTCTTTTTGCTTATGTGGTGCTGAGGAATCGACCCAGGGCCTCAGGCATGCAAGGCAAGCGCTCAACCACTGAGCCATCTTCCCAGCCCATGAAAATAATTTTAAACTGAAATTATCTTTCCTATTTTTTGTGTGTGACAGTACTGTTTCACTGATTAATAGTGACAACAGATGTTAAGTTTTTTAAAAATAGTCTTTTACCAAACAATAAAGAACAATGCTATTTTTAATTAAAATGTTAAATCTACTGGTTCATAAAATCCTGTAATTTAGATTGATGATGCTGTGATTGTTTCAAATGGAGAAAGCTTGCATTTCTTCCATAATTCTGTGTAACTTTGGAAATCTGTACAGCACACATGCTTTCATAGTAATCATTTGCTATGTAATCCAACTTTCCAAATTGCTTTCCAAAACAATCTGAAATTTGACTGGTTTTCATTATGCATTTTCAAGTAGGCAGAGGAAGGAATTCAATTCTTAATTTATAGATGAGGAGTCATATTCAGAAGCTAGAGGTCATATAGGGATAGAGTGGCAAACTGAACTCATGTAATTTGCTTTCCTCAGATTATCCGTGTTTTGTTGGAGGAAGATTTGCAAGTAAAGGAGCAAAGGCTTTTGATGTATAGGAAGGGTTGTGATGACACAGAAGATCTTATTCCAACAAAAAGTTTTTTTTTAATGATATGTAATTGTTCTGTGAATTAAAGAAATGTTAAGGACATAAATAGGGATAGAGTTATGTTCAATACAATAACATGGCAACAGGTATACACAGAAACTTCATTATGTCATGAGAGTGGTAGGATGTGAAGTCACATGTTAGAGAGCTCTAGAAACTATCTACATTCTTGGCTGTACTGGAGAAGGAACTGGATTTGGTAAGCTTATTGTTTCCATACCAAATTCATTGAAATAATAGTACATTAAATGGATTTTGACTTGTGCTTTATAGCTCAGTTGTAGGTTTGAGAGGATGAAATACAGATGAAGATGTAGAGATAGAAACATGTTTAGGGTGCTGTGTGTAACCATTCTATCTGCTATGTGGTAGTAACTCTGCTAAGTGTTAGAAGAATACATTTTTTCATGTATCCATTTAGCAACTATTTTTTGTTCATAGAATCTGCCCTTATGATACATCTTATAGAATAACCAGATAAATAAGGAAAGACCTTATGAAGTCTCAGAGAGTTCTCAGACTAGTTGGGAGAGATCGATATGTGAAAAGATAGTTAAAATTTAGAGAGAGACAATGTGAAATACTTATCATAATGAGGCTATGACTTCTCTGTATCTAGTTTTTCTCTTTATGTTCCAAAAACATATACAATAATCTATGTATCTCCACAAGTATTTAAAAATTAGCATGTCTAAAACATGTGCATTGTTTTTGTCCAGAAATCCTGTTTTTGCACTCTAGTGCCCTGTCTCAATTTAGACAAGGTCTTCCAGGTCATTTTCCATTCTTTCTGTGCCTTCATGTGAATTCAGTCAGAACAATCTTAATACATCCTTCTCTCTCATTTCTCTTTATCTCCATTTCCACTTCATCATTAAAGCTCTAGCTTAGTTCCTTCTCAGTTCTCATCTGATTTTTTATTTAAATAGTCTTCCTGCCTCAAAACTTGATCTTCTTTAGATCATTCCTAGAATGATCTTTCTAAAAATACAAATCTGATCACGGAACTTCTCTGCTTAAAAACTTTGGCTCTTTATATGCCATAGGACAATATCCAAATTCCTTAATATGGCCTCATTTGGCCTCAGCTCACCTCTCCAGCTACTCCCTTACTCTGTGTGCTAGCTTGAATAAATTGTTCACAGTTCCCTAGCAAACATGTTACTTTTTTGAGCCTTGATATCTTGCAATAGCTGCTTCCTGTACTAGGAATGTCTTTTCTCTGCCCAATGAACTTTCTTATCCATTAGGATCAGTTTCATCTTTGTTATCCTCCTACAGCAGCAACCATGGGTCACCTATAGGAATCCCTGCTTAAAAGGCAGTCACTGTGTGTTACAAAGGTTCATTTGAGAGTCCACTCAGATAAGCAGATGCCAGTAAGAGGCAGAAGTGATGGAAGGAGAGAGGGTAAGTTGTGACCATATCTGGATACACCTTTTGTCTGAGGCGTAGAAAAGCGGAGAAGATGTGAATTGAGCTCTAGACTGGTAGGCTATTAAGTGGTTTTTCCCTCTTTTTCATACCTTTGAGATTTAATCAGGTATTTTTACTTCCATTTGTTCCTCTTATATCAATAATCAGCCCCCCCCCCCCTTTTTTTTTTTGCCTAGCCAGAGGCTTTGTAGGGAGAGATAAACCTCAGGACTTTAAAAGGTCATTTTGGACTCTTACTTCCTGATAAAGATATTGCTAGTACGTCGCTGCCCCACCTCCTCCTTTCTGCCTCTCCCAGGGCAAAGGTTCCTAAGTGAGGCTGAGCTGTTTCCTGCCTTGTGTCATCTGCAGTTGTGAGGTTGGTTGACACCTTTGCTGTGTGCCTGTAAAGGTGAATGCCTGGTCATGGCTATTTGTGGATCTGAGATCAGCTTCTTCTCCTTTTTACCCTGTGGTTGAGCCTGAAGGTAAATCTGGAAAGAGAGAGGCATCTATTCCTTTTATTTTGGGGAATTTGTTAAAGGAGGAAAGGAAAGAGGGTAGTGGTTTTGTCCTTTTCTCTGTCTTGTAATCTTTGCCAGGAAAGCTATGTATAGGATATGGCCTTTTATTTTTTTTTAAGTAAATAAATACAGTTTGGTTAAATACTGACTTTTGGATTCTGAGGTGCTGATTCCAGTGTGGCTCTTCTCTTAGAGATACCTATAGTAGTAGGCACCCCAGGTATACTGTAAGGGAGAAACAACTTGTTAAAATTTGGAGGAAGTTTAGTTTTGGACATGCTAAGGCCTTATTTTGCTGGGATTGGATGTTTGGCCTTTCTTCAATTTACTGGTGTGAGGTAGATACATCAGAACAGGTTATCTCTCTCCTCTTAGTTAGAGATATTCTCAAACACAGTAGAAAGAAGGAGAAAAGAAACATAGTTAGCAGAATACCTGCTTTACACTTGGAGTGCTATGTAAGTTATTTAATTCTTAAAAACTAATGATCATTTCATTGGAAATTTATTCATGAGAAAACTAAGGTTCAGATCTGTGAAGTGATTTATTTATAGTCAGAGATAGAAGACAGTGGACTGAGGTTTAAATGTTTGAGGGATTCTAGAGCTTAAGCTTTACTAATACTTTGTGTTATTCTTGTTTGATTACTGATTTCTACTTGTTTTCAGTTCTCAAGTGAGGTATGATGGAGAAAATACAAACAGTAATATTCTTGTATTAGTCAGGCTCCATGCAGGTGGCAGATGGCTCAAGTTGGCTTTGAGAAGAGTTTAATTAAACTTTTATTAAATCAATCATATTTACGAAGGTATGGACAGGTTTTAAACAAACCAACAAGGAATGTATTATATAGTGTGCATAGTGTTATATACTGGGTATAGTATCCCAGGTCTAAGAGGGAGTAGTAACAGGGAGAGGAAGGTTCTTAGCACTTAACTTTTGACTTTGCCCTCCTTAATCTAGGCCTACTTGGAACCTGTAGTACTTGGGAATGTGGCTAAGTACTTTTTGCAGTGCAATTTTGCTGTTGATAGCTACTGCTCTCTTTATGATCATGTTTGATGGTTTATAGGAAAGCATGCCTGAAAGGCTAAGCATCCATTCTGTGGATTTTTCTCCTCTTTACATCTCCTCCTCTATTACTTTTCTTGGTGAGTGGCAGAGTGGCAGGCTGGAGAAATGGTGGTAGATGGAAACTTCCCTCTATCTTTCTCTCACATTTATCTAAATTTGCATCCATCCTTTATTACTGTTGTCCTCCTTTCTCAGAGATGGTGGATATCTTTTGGTCTTATACTAATCCTTACACTTTAGTTTTCTGTCTGTTATCCCTGTCTTATTTATCTGTAACCTTACTTTCTTGAGGCTTTTTTTTGGGTCTGGTTGTGGGGCCTGAACTCTGGACCTGGGCGCTGTCCCTCATCTCTTCAGCTCAAGGCTAGCGCTCTACCACTTGAGCCACAGTGCCACTTCCAGCTTTTTTCTTTTTGCTTCTGTGGTGCTGAGGAATCGAACCCAGGGCCTCATGCATGCAAGGCAAGCGCTCTACCACTGAGCCACCTTCCCAGCCCCAGGCTTATTTTAATACTTACAAAAACCCTTCAGGCTTGCCATACAAAAACAAAAACATGAAAACTCTTGACACCATTCTGGTTTCTTTAAGCTATCTTATTTCCTGTTTGTCCTCCCCCCCCCCCCCCCCCCCACGGAATTTCCTGAAGTACTGAATTCCCTGAAGTACTGAATTCCCAGATTGTAGTTGGTTTACTTTTTAGCTAATTACTTTCCTAAATTTATCCCAAACTTTTTTTTTCTTCTTTTCAGAACTGGGATTTGAATTCAGTACCTCTTGCTTGCTAGGCTGTGATAATACCACAGAGCCATGCTTCCACATTTTTTAAAAATAAGAAACTGTTGAAAAGGCTTAAAAAATTGTCCATTGTCATCTTGCAGCATCACCTTCTCTTTCTGCCTGGCCTATTTTTAAAGGCACATCTAGTCTTTGTCTCTAGGACATCAATAGATAAAATGCAGGCTCCTTAGTATTCCTTAGTATATGTAATTGTGTTTGTAACCTTTACCTGTATTTACTCACTAACTCAATATTGTGTCTCCTCTCTAAATACTGATTGTCACATTAAACTTGTAATTGTTTTTCTAGTTGCATTCTTTCCTATTGCCATATTTTTGTTTGTACTGTTTTTAATGTGAAGAAAGTCTTTTCCTTTGCTGTCTTAAGTAACTAGTATCACAGAGTGTTCCCCTATATTCTCTCACAGTATCTGGGCAGAGCTAGTTGCTGACTTTTATAAATATGTTGGTTGGAGTTTATGTTTATATGCTTGCCCTCCAACTTTTTTTCCCCTTTCCTTTAAAACTGTCTGTTTCTGCTTAAGGTTATTGTATCTGGTACTTTATCAGTATGGATATACTTTGAGTTAATCACTGAGTAAGTTGGGCTTGCTCTTTAAGACGGTCCTTCCCAGAGTGTTACCTGTCCTACATATTTTCTTAAGCACAGTTTTTTTTTTTTTAATCTTCCTGTAGTTGTGATTTGGTAATTCTGAGAGGCTATGTGGACTAAAAGGGGTATTGGTTAATATAACCTTAGGACAAACTGTAGGACTGGTGTCAGATTTCTGGGTTCCTTTATCCTGTTTGGAGTATAAAGAGGAAGAACAACTTAACCTCGTGATTCCTGTGAAGGTTTTACGTCCTTGAGAGACAATACTGTTAAAGAGATGATAGGTGTGGTAGAAAAGGAACTATGGGCTAGGCCTGGGGCAGTGTTTGCCTGTTAATACAAACATTAAAAAAATATTTATTGAGTCCCTAGTTATTACTCTAAATACTGGGGATACAATAGTGAATAAGGTATAAACCCTCTCTCTAAATAGCAGATTTTTTTAGTGGCAAGATAGACAAATAGACCATTTTATATGGTAGAAACTGTTAAGAAAGTAGGATTAGGAAGTGAGAGTGGAGGTGGGAAGATGAGTTGTGAAGATAAAATTGTTAAGTGTGGTCTCTGGAGAGTTGTTGCGTAAAAAGGACTGAACCGTGAGAACAATGAGGAGAACAGGGCAACTTTCCTACAGAGAGAACAAAAAATACTAAGGAAGAACGGTGTGATTGTGTGACTAGGTATGTGTGAGACTAATAGGAGCGCCTACAGATCATTATACAGGCTCCTGCCTGCCAAGGTAAGGAACTGGGATTATTACTAGTGTGATAGTAAATCACTAGAGGGTGTTTAGCAGAGAAGAGATGAGTTATAATTTATATTAAAATATTACTCTGGTTACTGCATGGAGAGAATAAACTTTCAGGCAGGTAAGAATGGAAGCACACATACCTGTAATCCCATTACTTCAGAGGCTGAAGCTGGAGAATCATGAATGTAAGGTTAGCTTGGGTTGTGAGATCCTGTTTCAAACAACCACAAAAATGCCTTAAAACAAAAGTGGACGTATAGAGACCAGATTGGAAGCTATTGGAGTAGATCAGATTGGTATTTTAAAAAATTATTTTTACTTTTTTTTTTAAAAGGCAAATCTCACTGTGTAACCAGGCTGGCCTCAAACATACTATGTAACCCAACATGGCCTTGCACTTTAAGTCTTCCTCTTCTTGGTACTTGTTTTAAGGATAGTGATAACAAGATTTGCTGATGAACTGGATGTTGAAAGGAAAAAAAAGAAAGCCAGGATGAATCTCATGCTTCTGGTGTAAGCATATAAGTGAATGTTGGTATTACTAAGATAGAAAGGCTGGGGGAGAAATCAGGTGTTTTGTTTTAGATGTATACAGGTCACATGCTGGCTCTTTCTATGTATCTGTGCATGAAAGTGTATGGAGTTTTCAGTTGAATAGTAGGACTAAGTTTTTCTACTAGGGTGTTGAGAGAGGTAAGCTTCTGTTATCCCTTCCATTTTCTCTTTTTGAATTAGATTTGCAAGTCTGGACTGGGCAGTGATCTCTGGGCTTGCTACTCCACTCTGGTATAATCACTGGCTCTATGGACAACTACTGGCTCCTACAGACCGGATGAAGCAGACTGGAGGCACAAGTGGAGAAAGCCCCCAGCTGGCATATCCTCCAAGTATAGCCCTTTGGCTGCTGGCCCTGCCCAGCCTGCCTCATGGAGAGGATGAACTGGCTGAGCAGACTGGCTTCCCGGGGCCCTGGCCACCGTGTACCTCAAGGGGCCAGTCTACAGACCCCTGTCATGGCTGATCCTGAGACCTGCCTCATGGTATTTAAGAATCACTGGTCTCAGGTAGGTACTATGTGCTAAAATGTCCAGTTCACCAGCCACCTGAGTAATCCTAACATTCTAGGTTCTGTGTTTTGATCATTTCATGTAGTCACTTAGATTCCTTCCATCTTCTGTTTTTTGTTTTTTTTCTTTTCTATAGGTGGTAAGAATCTTGGAGCGGCGAGGCCCTCGGGCAGCTCCTGGAGGTGCTGATGATCTCAGTGCTGTGCGCAACCATACGTATCAAATGTTAACTCTGCTGGCAGAGGATCGCCCAGTCTCTTCAGCTCCTACTGGCCCTGGGCCCCTGCTGGAGTTTGCTCTGCGCGAGGATCTGCTGACCCGTGTGCTGGCATGGCAGCTCCAGTGGGATGAGCTTGGGGATGGGGTTGAGGAACGACGGGCTGAGCAATTGAAACTATTTGAGATGTTAGTGAGCGAGGCTCGCCAGCCGCTGTTGCGGCATGGACCAGTTCGAGAGGCTCTGCTCACTCTGTTGGATGCCTGTGGCCGCCCTGTGCCTAGTAGCCCGGCACTGGATGAAAGCTTGGTGTTACTTCTCAGCCAGCTGTGTGTTTGCGTGGCCCGGGAGCCTTCGTTGCTTGAGTTCTTCCTGCAGTCACCTCCTGAACCTGGAGCTGCCCCACGTCTTCTCCTCTTTTCTCGTCTTGTCCCTTTTGTCCATCGAGAGGGCACCCTGGGCCAACAGGCTCGTGATGCCCTACTGTTGCTCATGGCTCTATCAGCTGGGAGCCCTACTGTGGGCCGCTACATCGCAGATCACTCTTACTTCTGCCCGGTTAGCATCCTCTAGGAAGGAGGGGAGGGTATGGCATGTGGACACTGTATAGCACTTCCTTATGCAGGAGTTGTGGAAAGGCAAAGTATCAAGGCCTTTCATCCAGAAATTTGGCCCCTAGGTTTGAGAGCAGCTTCCTGGAATGGGGATGAAGCATGGGCCTAGACGATAGGCAGGTACTAAGGTTCTGTTTGAACTAGTGTTCCAGATGAAGTCTTGACACACTGAGTGTCTTAATACCTGCTTTGGTAGTAGCTCTTATTTCTACTCCTATCAAATCTCTGGACTATTATCTCCCATCCTACTCTTTATATTGTCTGAGCCTTTGCTGATCTTCCCTAGGTGCTGGCCACAGGGCTAAGTGCCCTGTATTCTTCACTGCCCCGAAAGATTGAGGTTCCAGGGGATGACTGGCACTGCCTCCGACGGGAAGACTGGTTAGGAGTGCCAGCTCTTGCACTCTTTATGAGTTCCCTAGAGTTCTGCAATGCAGTTATTCAGGTAAGACTGGGGTTTCTAGGAAGTATGACCCTTGATCATTCTGGAAAGATGGGGTGAAAGAGGTACCGTTCGTTGGAGTTGTGGTATCTTATGGGTGGGATAGCTATCTTTGTTATACCATTTTACTCCCTTCTAAACAGTGTTTTCATAATCCCTTTTTTTCTCTTTCACATTGGTATAGGTGGCTCACCCCCTGGTGCAGAAGCAGCTGGTTGATTATATCCATAATGGGTTCCTGGTGCCTGTGATGGGCCCTGCCTTGCACAAGGTGAGGGATAAAGGTGGCAAAGCATATCAGGAACTAGAGTGTGGATGGTGATTTCAGTGAAAGGACCAATCTGGGAGGCAGTGGGTGGGATACTGTTTCTTCTTTTCCTTCCTGCTCCTTGTTATTACTTAGAATCAAGGGAAAATGACTCAGTGCATATATAAGAAAGCCCTAAGTTTCCACGCTTTCCCTTCCCTTCATCCAGACCTCTGTGGAGGAGATGATTGCCAGCACCGCCTATCTGGAACTTTTCCTACGGAGTATCTCAGAACCTGCCTTGCTCCGTACCTTCCTGCGATTCCTGTTGTTACACCGGCATGACACCCACACCATTCTTGACACCCTTGTTGCCCGAATTGGCAGCAACTCTCGGGTATGGCTCTTACCTCTGTCCTGGCTTACCTGGGTGAGCCGTCTCTCTCTAACCTTGGTTATTGGAGGATATTCCTGCCCTTTTTTACTTTTTTTCTCTGACACTCATTTCAAAATTAAGTGGTATTTTTCTAACATTGAAAATTTGACCATTTTGGCTGTAGGTCTTAATATATTCCCCTGTTTTTCTAGAACACAGTGACTCTTTCTAGGTGACTTAGACTGCTTAGTTTGGCTATAGGATTTGCACTTGTGCAATGCTTGAAATATAACAGTGCCCCGAGGTTCTCTGAAGCTGTTTATCACTCTGTGGCCTGCTGTGGGTGACTGGAGATTTGAGTTTTGTGTCTTTTTTGAGAGATGATCTAGCTGTTCCAAATATGCTTGCCTTTTTTACTTTTTGGATTTGCTGCATTTGAACTATAACTGGGAGCCCATGTCCACCTACCTGTCTACTTAGATTCCTTTCTCTTACACGTGACCTACTGTTGGTTGGTACTGGGATATAATGACATGCATCATCACTAATCCCTGGAAATTACTTTATGGATAAGGTAGACAAGCAAACATGCTAATAAAATAATTGAAAATTGTGGCTAGCATTAGGAAACAAAATACGTTTAGAAAACAATAAGGTGAGTCAGGTGCCAGAGGCTCTTACCTATAATCCTAGCTCTTCAGGGGGTTGAGATCTGAGAAACTTGGTTGGGAGCAGAGCCAGCCCAGGTGGAAAAGTCTTGAGAATCTTTTTTCCAAATAACCACCAAAAAGCCAGAAGTGGAGGTGGTCAAGGAAGACCTCTGAGGATGTGGCATTGGGTTGAGACATATAGGATATGTACAGCTGACAGACAGTATCAAATGGAAGAAGAATCTAGGCAGAAGGAACAGCAAGAGAGAAAATAGGGCAAGGGGTTAATGTATTTTAGAAAATGAAAAAACTAGAAGTGTTGTTAGCAAGGGAGAAAGGGGATGAAATGAAGGTTGAGAGATAGGAAAGATTCACATTATACATGGACTTGTATACCAGGGTAAGATGTTTAGATTGTAACCCATAGAAACATATATAAGGGGGAAAAAATTAGTTTTCAGGTAATAAAGATCCAAAGGCTTTCTAGAGTAAAGTATTAGGTTAGCTATATACTTTATGGAATATATTTTGGCTCTGAAGCCACTTTTGTTTGCTTCCTTTATTACAAATAGTTGGAAATTTCCTGAATCCTCGTGTTTAAAATAGAAGTTCTTCGATTATTAAGAGTTCTGGAGAAGCCAGGTGTAGTGGTCCTTGCCTGTAATCCCGGCCCTGAGAAGACTGCATAGCAGGAGGATTGAGAGTTTGAGGCCAGCCTGGGCTACATAGTGAGATTGTGTCTCAACAAAGAAAAACAAAATGAAAAAAAATGTTGTGCAAAACTCTTCTAGAAGTAAGCTACCTACTAGTGAGTTCCTGGATATCTGTGTTTTAAAGAATGGTAATGTAGCTGGGACACCTTTAATTCTAGCCAGCCCAGGCAGGAAAGTCCGTGAATCTCCAATAAATTACCAGAAAACTGAAAGTGGTGCTGTGGCTCAAGTGGTTAAGCTGAAGAGCTGAGAGGCAGCGCCAGGCCCAGAGTTCAAACCCCATGACCAAAAAAAAAAAAAAGAATCGTAATGTAAAACTGTCTAGGATTAGACCTACATTTCTGAACCAAGTATATATTCAGAGTTATCTATGAGGAAGATAGCAGCAGCAGATTCTAAACATAATTCTTGAATTATGTTGTCTTTCTGGCCTAGATCATGTGTGTGTGTATATATATATATTTTTTTCATGTATATATTTTTTCATGTATATTTTAAAAATGTTCCCCAAAGTACTCAAAAGTATTTATGATATATGTTCTTGGTTAAAATTTATTGGTGTAAACCACTAGGGAATGGATATCAAAAAAGTTTTATTTCTCATCCTGAAATTAGGCTTCCATCTTATGTTTGTTTAGCCCCATGGAATACCCTATTCATGTTTAGAAATTTGATTTATTTTCTTCTTCAGGTTCATCCTGTACCACTTTGGGATTTTATCTATTTTTTATCTCAATTTTACCCTAATTCCCTTCATTGTCTTTGGTCCTTAGCCAGTCTGCCTGCCTGCCTGCCTGCCTGCCTGTGTTCTTTCTTTCCCTCCTTCCCTCCTTCCCTCCTTCCCTCCCTCCCTCCCTCCCTCCCTCCTTCCTTCCCTCCCTCCCTCCCTCCCTCCCTCCCTCCCTCCCTCCCTCCCTCCCTTCCTCCTTTCCTTCATTCCTTCCTTCCTTCCTTCTTTCCTCTCTCCCTCTTTCTTTTTTGGTCTGAGACTGGGACTCAGACTTGGTGTGTGACACTTTTCCTCATTGGCTGGTACCTCCAACACCCTTAGCACTTATTTCTATTAGTCTCATTTGAGTTCTTCATTTTAGGAACCTTTCTGGGGGAGTTTTTTCTTGGTTCCTAGTTCTTAGGTGAAGAGTCAGATCTCTTCTGACTACAGGATGCTCATATCTTCCACTGTTGGGTCCACTTTTTGCTTTAGTTATTTTTTGGCTAAGTTCTTGTATTTTTCCTAGGGCCTGCTTTGGACTCTGATCCTTCTACCTGTCATCTTGTAGCTGGATTTACAGATGTGTGCTGCCATCATTGTTGAGATGGAATCTGCCTAACATTTGCTTGGACTAGTCCTCCTGATTTCCACCGCTGAGTAGCTGGGAATAACGGCATGCATTACCATGCCAATTTCAGATTTGTTATCATGTAACTTTGGAGTACATATTTGGGTTGTTGGCAGAATTAATTTCTTTGTAGTTGTGAAACTCAGATTGCCATTTTCATGTTGTGAAAGTCATACCCATCTATTAGAGTCAACCAAATCTTGACTCTTGGCTTCTTCCATCTTCAAAGCTAGCAATGATATGTCAAGTGTTTGTGGTATTTCAAAGTTCTTTTCTCTCTGTCTCTGTCTTTGTTTCTATGCCTGCCTGTAGCTCTCTTTCTCTCTCCTTCCCTTTTTCTCTCTCAATTGGTTTCTCTCTGTGCTGGAGATCAAACCCACAGTCTTTTGTGTGCTAGACAAGTACTCACATAGCCTCTCTTCTTTTTGACCCAGCTGTAAAAGTTTCTATGCTTCTGAGGACCCGTGTTGTTTGACTGGATTTACCTAGATAATATGAGTTAATCTTCCTATCTTGAATTCCATAATTTTTTTTTCAGTGCTGAGGATTGAGTCCATGGCCTCATGCATTCTATCACTGATACACATCCCCCCAAAACAAAACAAAACACCAGACCCACAAAGTATTTTTCCCCCATTGTTTGTGGGGCCTGAATTTAGGACCTGGGTTGCTGTCCTTGAGCTCTTTCACTCAAAGCTAGCGCTCTACCACTTTGAGCCACAGCACCACTTCCAGTTTTCTGGTGGTTAATGGAGGTAAGAGTCTCATGTACTTTCCTACCTGGGCTGGCTTCGAACCACAATCCTCAGATCTTAGCCTCCTGAGTAGCTAGGATTATAGTCACAAGCCACTGGTGCCTAGCTTAGAAAATCTGTATTTTAATCACATCTACAAAATCTCTGCTGTTGTGTAGGGCAAAATGTTCACAGGTTCTGGAAATGAAGATGTGGGCGTCTTTGAAGGAAAAAACTCTCATACTTTTCATTGAATCAGTTTTTTTTTTATTGCTAGTTAAAACTATCATTTAGGATAAGCTTCTTGAACATCCATGCTGTCCAAAATGTAAAGTGTTGTCTCACCTTTTCTCCTACTCTGTGGTTATTATTTTTTTTATAGTCACTTAACAAATAATTAACACATAGACTGTATACTCATTAGTATAGACTGATACTCATTAGTTGTCTTGAGGGAGCTCAAGGTGTCTGATGTGCTTGCCATAGGGAAGTACAGAGAAAATGCTGTTGGGATTCAGAGATGAGGGGCAGTTTACATGTGAGCTTTTGACATAGCCAGAGATGAATAAACCTACATTTTCTAAAACAAAAGGTTCTCATTGCTCTGGACCCACCTATTTTTTCCTTTTCCTGTTAGCTGCCCTTGAGTTTTTCTGAGAAGCCCTGGGGTTGGAGAGGTGACTCAGACTCCATACTCACAGCTCCACCCTCTTCCCAGTTGGGATTCTTCCAGGTTCCTTCTGGTTCCTTATTGGTAGGCATTTAGTGTGGTTATAGTACTTTTTAACAGGCATTTACTTGGTTATCATGATGCTGTTGTTTCCTGTTAGTCATTCACTTAGAGTATTTCTGAGTGTCTCTTTTCTTGAAGTCTCATTGGCACACTGCTGGAGTATCAGCAGACAGGTAAACATAGCCAGAGTGTCTGCTGATATGTCTATAGTCTATAGAAGTCCATTGTTTCGGAAGCATAGATCATTTCTATCTGTGAATTGTGAAGCCCACAAAGATATGTGATCAGCTAGTTAATAGCTTCAATGATTTTTATGTTCCTTGACCTGCATATATTTGTTCTAGTAGTGGTTGGTTGGCCATGGGGCTGGGGAAGGGGGTTTCTATTTAGTAAGCAGTTTGGAGGGGAAAAAAGCTCTTATTATGACTCTTTCTTCTCCACCCTCAGCTCTGCATGGTCTCTTTGAGTCTCTTCAGGACCCTCCTGAACCTCAGCTGTGAGGATGTCTTACTGCAGCTGGTTCTCAGGTACCAGGGGATGGGGGCTGAGGGATGGCCAACCCTCAGGGCCTTGTGCTTTGCTGGGGTGATGGGCTACATTGACATTGCTTGAGTATCCTCTTGCATCCTGGCTTAGCCATTTAGTTTCATTGGCTGGTTGTTCTAAGTACTATTCTTCCTTCCTCATCCATCCCATGTCTCCTTTCTGCTGTCTTTCCCAGGTATCTTGTTCCGTGTAACCATGTGATGTTGAGCCAGAAGCCAGCTGTACGGGATGTGGATCTTTATGGACGAGCAGCTGACAAGTTTCTCTCCCTAATCCCACGCTGTTGTCGGCACCATGCCCCTAGCCCACCTCATCCAGAGCATGCCTCATGGGCACGAGGTGGGCCTAGCAGAGAGGCAGGGAAAAGGGAGGACATCACGGGTATGGCCTAGGTTCTGGGGCAGCCTAGCAAGAAGGCAGGGCTAGGGTGAGGGGAGGGAAGTTGTCATGATTGACATTTCTTCTTTGGGGAGATTGATGAGAAATTTGCGGGAAGGATTCTTAACTTTCCAAAAGAAATTTAGGGTGGACTTCTGGGAAAATCTGTTCCTCTTCATTTAGGCCTATACTCTTCCTTTTGCATTTTTTTTGGGGGGGGGGTTGTGTTCATGGAGAAAGGGGGTTATGAATTAGAAAGAAGTTAATTTGGAGGTTGGAGGGGCATCTATTTAAATATGTTCCAAGTTTCTGCTTCTTTATTGCCTTCTCTCCTAATCTCTATAGGTATCTTATCTCATCTTTTGAGCCTCTGTCTCCTTAATCCTATTTGATTTTTTTTTTTCCCTCTGAAGGCCCTGGAAGCCCAAGTGTTGATTCCTCTTCTGTGGTGACAGTTCCTCGGCCCTCCACACCATCCCGCCTGGCTTTCTTCCTTCGGCAGCAGAGTCTGAGTGGCTCTGAGTCCCCAGGCCCAGTCCCTCGCTCACCAGGGCTTTCTGCATCCCCATCCTCTAGCCCTGGCCGACGGCCCTGCCCTACGGAGGAGCCTGGTGAGCTGGAAGATAATTACCTGGAGTATCTGCGTGAGGCGCGCCGTGGTGTGGACCGCTGTGTCCGAGCCTGCCGTACCTGGTCTGCCCCCTATGATGGCGAGCGGCCCCCTCCTGAGCCCAATTCTCTTGGCTCCCGGACTAAGAAACGCAGCCTCTTGACTGAGGAGGACAGGGACAATGTGGGGAAAGGGGAGGAGGAAGAGCTGGGGAGTAGGGGGCTCACTGCAGGTGTAGGGGAGGGCCCTGGCCACCTACCCCCACCCCAGCTCAATGGTGTACCAGGACCATGGCCCGAAGGGGCCAAGAAAGTTCGTCTGGTACCACGACTGGCCCCACAGGAGGGAGCTGGGGAACTGCTAGAGGGTACCTCCGAGGGCATGATGGGACTAGAGAGCTTTGGGCAAGAGCTCCAGGAGCTGGAAGTAGCATTGAGCAATGGTGGAGCTGGCTCTGAAGTCCCCCTAGAGCCTCCCCTACCTCTTGAGGAGGAGGAGGCCTACGAGAGCTTTACCAGTCCCCCTGAGCTCCCTGGCCCCTTCCTCAGCAGCCCTTTGCGGACTTTCAACCAGCTGCCAAGCCAGCCCTTCACTGGTAAGCTCCTCAGCCTAGGCCTTCTCTTTTGTGTACTTGCATGTTCTTGATAATGTTTGTGCTGATTTCTGAGACTTCTTGGCTATGTCATTTGTGTACTTGCCTAGCCCTCATCTACTTTGCTTCGGTCCCTTCCACATTCATATCATACCATAGTTGTGTTCTCCTGCTTGTCTCTGTCATCTATGCTTGTGCTGGTTTGAGTATTATGTCTGGGCTATGTTTGTCTGTCCCATATGCATGTTCCTCCTCCTACCCCTAGCATGGCCATTTCCTGGGATTTATAATTGGTATCACACTCTATCTGAACCATATGGAAGACATAGTGTCTTCCATTCTATGTGAGAGGCACCTGTCTGTGTAATTCTTACCAGTATGTATGGAGTATTAGGTATGGCATCTTCTGTCAGCTCTCTTATGGTCTAATGTCATCTCTAGTAGATGTCTTTTCTGCCTAGTTCCTCCTCCTCTGCCTTTCCAAGAAGGGCCCAATTTCATCTTTCTCCTGTCCACTGTCCTTGTACTTTCTTGGTTGCCATGACCATCCAATAATACTGTTTTGGGATTTGTGATTAGTAGTAAAGAAGAAGCAGTGTGGGTGAGATTTTTGTTGTTGTTGTTGCATTACTGAGGCTTGAACTCTCAGGGCCTTGTGTTCTTGCTTTTTCTTTTTGCTCAAGTCTGGCACACTCTACCACTTAAGCCACACCTCAACTTCCAGTTTTTTCTGGTTAATTGAAGAGTCTCTTGGCCATTTCAGCCTGGGCTGTCTTTGAACTACTATCTGCAGATCTGAGCCTCCTGAGTAGTTGGCATTACCAGTGCAAGCTACCAGTGCCTGGATGGGATAGTGTTTTGAAAGCAAATGATGAAGCCTGGCCCTAAGCTCACCAGAACCCTTTTGGGTTCTCCAGGATGTTCCTGGAGCAGCTAGACCTGTGAGTTGTTGGATTAGCTCTTCTTTGTTTTTGTTTAGAGCCATGCTAGCCTTTCTCTTGCTCTAATCCACACTCTGTGCATGGAAAAACAACCAAAATAACTCTGGGAGGCACTGTAGTGGCTAAAGCCCAAACTATACGCTTTTAGTTAGACATTACTTAAGTTAGCCTCCCACCTCTTGCTGTTGATTCCTCTAAATCACTTACTATAATAGAACACATTGTGAGAACTCAACAAATGGTAGGTAGCTTTTCACTATCATTACCCTCTACTGGTCACACTATCTTCTAGTTGTTTGTAGTCAAGTTTTTATGCCTTGATCAGTTTGTGGCCTGACAGGCCTGTGAAATGCTGACTATCCTACTTGTAGCAAGGCTTCTGATTTTGACTGCTTTTCTTGCAGGCTGTAGAAAAGAAATATCTTTTTTCATTTATTTAGCTACAATTCTGTTTCTTTCTGGTCAATACCACTAGGAAGTGGTGTGCAGATTTTCCCACAGACTTGAAATAGTAGTTTAAGTTTGTTATTTTTCTTCTTTGTAAACTCATGTGAGGGTTTTGAATTGGCTCTTACTAGATACTCCCAGGAAAGAAGAGGTAAGGGAATAACAAGATTATATGTTGTTACCTTAGGACCTTGTTAAACTAGAGTTATTGTTGAGCTAAGGCTAGTCATGGGGCACATTGAACAGCTATTCTAAGAACTTTTTCAGAACTCACCACCTTTTACACCTCATTGTTCTCTCTCCATTTGTTGATATATTCTCTTTCCTCCAGAAATCCCTGATCAGAAAGTCTATGGTGGTTCTAGAGCTGGTGATAAGTGTTTATTGAGGTTATTTCTTAGTATGTAATGCTGATCCCTTCTCTTACCTTCTCTCCCACTGAAAAAAAGTCTTACAAATAAGTTTATTGTGCCCCTGAGCCAAGCTACACTTTTATTTTCTTCTTAGCTCCTAAAAGACAGAGCTGATGTCTTTTCTGGTTCCTTAAAGATTTATCTCCTAACTTTAAACAGAAACTGTCTTTTCATTATTTTTGCTACATTATTATTATTTTTTTCTTCTGACCAAATTTAATGTTATTCAGCTTTATGTGAAACCTGATTCTGTGTTTTGGTCCTAGTCACTATCTCTGCCTATTCATTCTTCTGGTAAACCTAGTCAATAAAGCTTTTCAAAAATGAAGAATTATGTAACTTTTGGTTATAATTCAAAACAACATTTGCCAGATCATAGGCTTAATATTTTACATTGATTTATATTGTTCCTCTTATGAGGTAGGTATATTTTCTTATTTTATCAAGTGGGAAAATAAAGATTGGAGAGCTTTTGCTTATTCAGTAATGTTACTAGTAAATTGAAATCTGAAGATCCTAAGGTCTTTATACATATTCAGCTTAATGAGTAAAAGCTGTTGTCATCTGGACTCTTGTGAGTCCATTTGGTATCTGCCACATTATTTGCTCCAGAATAGGTAGCCATGAGATTTTCAAACATACTCAGAGTTTGACTTGTAATTTTCCTCTTGTGGGGGTCTCTTGTTTCTGGGAGGAATGCGTGCAGTGTGCATTGTGTTCAGGCCTTATATCCTTGTGCCCACCCCTCCCCAGGCCCCTTCATGGCTGTGCTCTTTGCCAAACTCGAGAACATGCTGCAGAACTCCGTCTATGTCAACTTCCTGCTGACGGGGCTGGTGGCCCAGCTGGCCTGTCACCCCCAGCCCCTGCTCCGCTCTTTCCTGCTCAACACCAACATGGTCTTCCAGCCCAGTGTCAAGTCCCTGCTGCAGGTGTGCGATGCATGCATGCATGGGTGCGTCTAGGCTCCATGGTGGGCCCAGCCCGCAGCTGGAGTGACCCTGGGTGGGCTGGGAACAGATCCATGGGGACTAGAAAGAAATGTGTCAGTCTAGAACCACCAGAAATGTCATAAGGTTGTGCTTCATAGGTGCTGGGCTCTGTGAAGAATAAGATTGAGAGCTTTGCGGCGTCCCAGGAGGACTTCCCAGCACTGCTATCTAAAGCCAAGAAGTACCTCATTGCCCGTGGCAAGTTGGACTGGGGTGAGGGTCCTACAGCAGGACCTGCCCCACGCCGCTCCGATTCCCTAGGTGAGGCTTCTATCCCACCACCCCCTTCCTGCCCTCCCTAGGTATCTTATTAGCCCTGGTTAGTTGAAGTAAAACCTTAATTAAGGTGAAACTTCATGCCAGGGACTGGAGAGTTGTAGAAAACTGAGTCTTTATGTTTGTCCTAGATTTGAGTCAGTGGCTAGAATACAGTGCTGTCAATATTCCATCCCAATCAGTAGTATCAACACAAATTGCTTTAGGACTTCGAGACTGACAAGGGGATCAGAATAGTCATTAGATTAAGACACTAAAAGTTTAATAGAGGCTGTGACATTTGACATGGCCCTTGAGATATAGGTAGTACTTAGACAAGGGAATAGGAGGTTTTTATTCTTTTGTTCAGGAGACATCTTGGACTGTTTAGTTACAGCAGGGGATTTAAAGACAGAAGAATAGCTAAAGGAAAGGCTGGATTTTGCTAGAAAAGAAGGTTCTACTCAGGAAATTGGTCTGGGTAAAAGATCTTTTCAGCAAGGGTAGCCACTTAAGATTCTTAAATTTGTCAGTGGGCAGATAGCTAAGCAAAAGTGAATTAGAGTTAGGGCAAGAGAAGTCAGGAAGAAGAGTCAGTGGGCTTCATAATGCATATATGTTTAGGGAAGGCTTGAATTAGAATAGTGGGAAGGAAAGGAAGCAGTTGATAAGGTGGAAGCAAGTGTTGAAAGAACTTAGTGAGTGCTTGAGGGAAGAAGGAAGAATTAAGGCTGCCCCTGAAATTCATTTTTTGCATCATATGTATCTGAGCACTTGTATTGGTTGTTTTAGTATAGGAGACTCAGGGTAATACAAGTGATGTGATCTCTTCCTTCAAAGAACTTAGAATCTGGAGAGTGACTGGAGAGAGATGACAGAAGGAACAAGGTCCTACATGTAGTGCAAGTAATAGGATCTAGAATACCAGATAGGGATTTCATGTCTTTTTTTTTGTTTCTTTGTTAATCAAATCTGGGGGTGAAAATAGAGATGGAGAAGTGTGAGGGTTGGGAGGAGGAGTACCATAAGGGTTTTTGCTCAGCTGTAAAGACTCTGCTTAAGTTCCTTACGGTCTAATACTGTGGCTCTTTCTTGCCTCTGTAGTTTTAGCCCTGGAGTCACCAGATGAGCAAAAAACTACAAAGAAAGATAAGATATAGTCTAAGCTCTTAAGCCCAGAGATGAATCCATGAGATAGAAGAATGAAAAGAAATTATTAAAGTTTAGTGAGATAGGGAATGTAAAATAGTAAGTCAGTTAGAGGATAAATCAGAGGTTCTCAAAGAGGTGAAGATAGTACAATTAAGCTAGAAAGGATGAAAAAAAAAGTAGAGTGCTGGGCACTGGTGGCTCAGTCCTGTAATCCTGGCTACTCAGGAGAGGCAGAGCATCACCATTTGAAGCTTGCTCAGGTGGAAAGTTCATGAAAATCTGTCTCCAAAATAAAAAAGTAAGGGTTGAGGGCATGGCTCAAGAGATCACAGTGCCAATTAAAGAGGCAAGCCAAGTGAGTGTGGTCCTGAGTTCAAACTCCAGTATTGCCAGAAAGAAAGGTGGAGGAAAAATGTAGGGATAGGGAATCTACAGGCATCTACAAACAGACATGAAGTGCTCATTGGGTTTTAAGAAGATAGATGTGAAATGACAAGTTAATGGATTTGTATAGCATTTCTATAGACATTTCTGTAGAGGTAGAGAACGTATGTATCATGATCTAGAGGCTTGAGTCTAGTCTAGCTAGTGGTAATAGGTCTGGTCTAGAAATCTGCCTGAAAATTGGAGAGAGAACAGCTCATTTAAGTCTCAGCTGACACAATATTGTCTGGCCACACCCAGTAGAAAGGAGGTATAGACAGGGACAGATGAACAGTGAACTGGTAGTACAGAAAAACGGATCTTAGAGAAACAGTGGAGTATGACAAAAGTGAAATGGTTCTGGAACTATGATTGTGCATATATGTAGCCCCTGTGAGTATTGGAAACATAGCAGATGTGGATCCAAGTGTTACAGGATAGATAGGGAAAGAGAAGTGGTTACTTCAATTGTGGAGAGTGATAGGAATATTGCAGATGGAGAAGTCTCTTGTGTTAGAGTAGTGATTGGAAAGAGACTTCCTCAGGGTAAGAGGGTATGGAGAGGGAAGGACATAGCTAGAAATGAAGTGGCTCCAGTTTTGGCTGGTTAAAACAAGTTGGCTGAGGAGGTCTGGATAGAGTGGCAGAGGCTGGGCAGGCAGCATTTTGGTATCAGAAAGAACATATTCCCTCTCTTCAGTTATCTTCAGACAAGACAGAAAATGAACCGCGAGATTCTTTTCTGGTTCATCTTGTTTTTTTCCATTCTCTCAGAACCTGAGTGGAGAAGTCTAAGAACCTAGAGGGATGGGGGAATCTACTCACCCAGACTAAGGCAGTTTCCCTGATCCCAGCACCTTCTTGATCCCCTTGTTTATTCCCAGTGAAGAGCCGGAGGCCATCCTTGGGGGAATTACTCCTGCGGCATGCACATAGTCCAACCAGGGCTCGACAGGCGGTACAGGTCCTTCAGCCTGGGCGAGACGGAGCAGGACTTGGACTAGGTGGGGGCTCCCCGGGGGCCTCCACTCCAGTTCTTCTTCCCCGGAGTGGAGCTCCTGAGCGCCAAGGTGAGGCTCTGCGAGTCAAGAACGCTGTCTACTGTGCCGTCATTTTCCCTGAGTTTCTCAAGGAATTGGCTGCTATCTCCCAGGCCCATGCTGTCACGTCGCCTTTTTTGTTGGATACTTCAGAGGAGGGATCAAGCCCTCTCATCTCAGGCTCTGGGTCCCTCAATCCTTAATTTTCTTCCATGGACAATCAGGGCCGTAGGTGGCTTGGGCGAGGCCAGGTCGCAGGCTCCTTTGAATGTTTGGAGGCAGTGGCAAATGGACTTTTTAATTTATTTCAGATGAATGTTTTATGGAGAACTTGTTGCAATATGTATAAAAGGGAAATCTCTATTCTGTGCTCATTCTTCTTTCCCACCCTTTGTCTGTGGGGTGGGGCCCCCAAAAGGTTGTACATAGGTGGGGGAATCATTGGATATTTTCTCTCTTTCTGGTAGTAGCATTCATTGCTAGGGTTTCAAGATTTCCTTTTTTGCCCATAGAGGGTGTGAGGACTTGAAGCCTAGGGGGGAAAAAAACCCCTGGGGTCTCTCTGCCTTCCCTGGGCCCCAGAAGAAAGAAGCACCATGGGCCCAGGATGGTTAGGGGGAGCAGCAGTTGATGTTTATTGGGGATCAGTATCCCTATGCCAGATCTTGGGGGCCTTGCCCCCCGAATCTCTTGCCTCAGCTTTAGTCGTCGCTGTCGAACTCCGAGGATAGACCCTGCAGCAGGGGCAGGGACATGGAGTGCCGGTCGGGGTCCCCGGGGCCCCCACCCTGGGCTCCTGGTGGGGGGCTGCGGGGACTGAAGAGCCAGTTTTCTGCCAGGGTTGGGGATAGTCACAGCTTGACTCATGCCCTGGTCTTCCTCCCTAGTCCCTCTCCCCCCGGTCCTCTGTGCTCTCCCCAACCCCATATGAGGCCCAAGTTTCTATTTCACCCTCCCTTGGCTCCTTCACATTATCCCCTTCCGGGTCCTGTACACAGCTGTGGATGCCCCCCCATTCCTGGGCTGTACTCCCCATCCCTTCTCCCTCCTCCACTTTGTCCCTCCCATCCTCATTTTCATTTCCCCTAGCAGTACCTGACAGCATCTGGGGCCCCCTCCGGAAGGGGTTTCGACCCTTGCAGGAGAATCTGGTGGGTCTGCCTTCAGGCCCTTCTTGGGGAGGTGGTGTAGGTGTAGGTGGGGCAGGGGCGGGAGGGGGCACATCAGCAGCTTCAGGGATATCAGCAGGTGCTGATGTGGGGGCCAGGGTCGGTGTGATGCTGAGGTTGGGTTTGACCCAGTGGACCCCATGAGGCCATGGGTCTTTGTTCAGAGGCTTCTGTGGTCCCAGCACACCCTTGGGCTGCAGTGAAAACTTGAGGCAGGAAAAGGCAACAGGCAATGACCGCTGTAACCGGAGCAGCTGGGGCTCACGGGTTGTAGGCAACAACCCCAGCTGCAGCCAGGAGCAGGAGAAGACCTGGTAGATGACGTAGATGCTGTGGGTGCTTCGGAGCCAGGGAAGAGTCTGCTGTAGGCTCACCTGCCCCGGTGGCAGCAACAGGAAGGCAACCTTCTTGCGCAGGCCACCCATATGTAGGCGGATCCGGCAGGGCTGCCCATCCAACAGTCGCATCTCCTCATAGGCTATCTCAGCTCGGCCATTTGGTGAGTATTCCCGAGTGCAGTGGGCAAAGGCACCCTCAGACCCTGCCTGTTCTAGAAGGCTTGGTAGTGGCCCCACGGGCTTCAGTGCCTTCCGGCCCTGCCTACCGGGCAAAGCCAGGCGGGTGTGGGCTGGGCGGGACTGTTTCACTAGAACTCCCAATAGGTCATAGCAGGTGGCATCCGACAGGAAAGGTACTGCTACTACATTGGACCCAAAACGCTCCTCGATAACCTGCAGGTGGTAGTCAGGGACTCAGTTAAGATCAGGAGTTAATTTGTACCTTACTCTAGACTGGCCTTCCCACCATTTGCTGTTTAATTACATCTCTACAACATGTATCTTACACTTCCTGCTTTTCTCCCTGTTCCTTCCTATAGCAAAACTTTGAATGTCTACTATGTGTCAGAGTAGGTTAGCTACTAGGACACATGAAAGAATGAAACGTTGTCCTTGTCCTATTTTAGCTTCATCTAATGGAGGAGACAAAAATGTATACTGTAGTCAGCTAAGTAAAATAATAGAGGACAAGGCATGAAGAAGACAAGTTATTTAAAGCCTTTGTCTTTGATGGAAGACCAAAGAAGGTTTCTAGGTGGTAATACTTGAGCTTCAAAGGAATTAAACAGGTAGGAAAAGGGAGAAGGGGCAGCCAGTTTTAAAAAAAATAAAAACAACCCCGAGTTTTCAAACCACAAGAGCTACAATTAGGAACACGTAATTTCCTATTACTTATATGTAAAGGTATGAAGAGGTAAAGGCACACAGGAACTCGATTATGAAAGGCTTCGTGTGCAGGCCTTTCATAAGTGATGGAATTTTATCCTGAGAACAATGAGAAGGCACTTGAAGGGCTCTGGGCAGGAGGAAAAGGACCATACAGATATTTTAGAAAACTGATGGTTAATAGGAAGGCTTAAAAATGTAAGAGTATAGTAATAATCTAGGCAAAACATAAGTTCCTGAACTAAAAGGGATGGTGAGACATATATATTAAGGTTTTAAAATTTGTAGAATTTGGCTTTGGAGATGTGGACCAAAGAGTTCTTAAGGAGCATTCTTAGGTGATTAGTTACATGGATAATATCATTAGCTAAGAAAAAATACACAGAAATGGGTTTATAATGTTCATTTTTTGCCCATACACTGTGTTACCTCTTGGTATGTACTTTCCATTCTTTCTGTAGGGGATAGTTCTTATATTGAACTTGAGGCTTCATCTTTATAATATTACTTCCAATACGCTTTTAGGAATTCCAGTTCCCCTGTCTTTTGAACTTTTTTCTTGTTTTTGTTGGGAGGGTGAAGAGCTTGGTAACCCACTTCTGGAGATAACTGGGAATTCAGCAAAATTATTTTTAGTATTTGGGTGTTATGGTCTCATCTCATTCAAGGTTTCATTGGCCAGGACTTCTGGCTCTTGGTTCTTCTAGGGAGCAAAGGCACACAAAATTCTATTCTTTGCATTTCTTTCTTTTTGAGCCCAGTGCTTCAAGTGACGTATTATACTCTCTAGTCCCCAAATCCCACTTATCTGTGCCCTTACTGATGGTATTGCCCATTTTCCTGCCCTTCTGGTAGAATTCCCCCAATGGTCTTCTAAAGCAAATCTACTTTTTGTTACATGAAGCTGTTTTGGAAGTTCTTCCCTCAAGTATTAAAATAGGGTAGCCAGCTGACGGAGTTGAGTTTGTACGGGTGAAGGCTTAAAGACTATCATCTTGTCATCTGGTTAAGAAAATAATTGGTATACTTTTCTGGCCTGCATGGAAGAATTTCCCATCACTCCTTTTCCTTTGCTTCAGTGAGATAGGAACATTTTAGTTTGGGTGGGGATACCATACTAAAGAACAGAGCTCTGAGAGGGGCTAGTTGGACTTCTAGGAGTGAGGGCAGTACAGTGCACTGGTAAGTGAGAGTTTGGGATAAAGTGTTTTGCCCCATAACAGTAACAACATAACCAGCATGCATAACCTCAGAATTCTACCCTAGGTGCTCCCTTAGTGTATAGGATCCTGAACACAGGTGACAAATGGGAATGTGTCCTGGAAATATCCTCCTACAGGAGTGAGGCATTCAAAATACACAGTGCTTATTGTCTAGGATTCTGCTAAAAGAATGAATCTCTGTCTTTGTTGGAGGTTCCTTCCTAATGTATAGACATTGCTATGAGGCTTAATAGGCTTTCCTCTTCTTTTTCTTCATCTCTTTAAAATTTGAGGTATAGTCTTACTGTTTAGCCCATTCTGTCCTTGAACTTGATATCATCCTGCTTTTATCTTCCTAAGTGCTGGAATTGCAGGTGTGTACTACTCCTATGCCCAGCTTTCTTTTTCTGCTTGAGAGCCCCAATGGTTATCCTAAAATAGGAATAATAGATTGTTGAGTTGTTTAGTTTTTGGCTAGGGGTGACTGTGCTATTGGCAAAGCTGCACTTGATATTATTGTCTGCTTTTGTTGAGCTTATACTTCTGTAGGCCTTTAGATTTAGGTTTGGCAGAGACAGCCTTGGTAAGTGATGGTAGGCTCTCTTCCTAGATAATCTTTGGTTGCTTTAAATTATGAATGTGGGAGCTCTTGAGCCACATGAGGGGTTAGCCAAATGTTTTACAAAGTGCCCAGTAAATTGCTAATAGTTCTGGAGACAAGAAACCTGGCAATTCACAGTTGCCCTACTCCTTGTATTTCCCACATTTCCCATCCTGTACATCTCTATCCTGATTTTCCACTGAAATAATATAGTGAGTTTTTTCATACTCAGAGATGATGTACCATTTAGCGGATGACCCTATTTACTTTTACCCTAATTGTAATTGGTCCAGTCCAGGGTAAACTAAAGTGCTGCTGAAACCAGTTACTCTTGTAACTTTCTTGATTCTGCTTTTCTGTCTTTTGGGATGATCAGCTTCCAAAGCACCATCACAGGTGCTTTGAGTCTGAATGGATTCTGCTTTAAGATGGTATATTCAAACCTGGAACTATACATTTTTATTTTTTTTCCCCCATGTCCTGGCTTTTGCAGGATGTTGCTTGTAGTAAGCTACTTGTTCATCCATCTACTTACTCATTAATTCCTTCAGGTGTTTATTATACCTTTTATGTACTAGCTACTACTCTCCCTGTCCCCATTTTTTGTGACTGATTCCTCCTTCCCTAGTAAGAATGTCAGTCTTCAGAAAGCCCTCTGAACCTCCTAAGTTCTCTTTAACCTAACACTTTTTCTCTGCTCTAATAAGCTCCTTACCCATTGTTTTTAAAGGAAACTACCTTACTGTTTTTTCTGTTGTGGTTAAATGGGACAGTTTTGTGCTTGACACATAGCAAGCACTATTATTGTCTTAAAATTCCTTTTTCCTACTCACATCCTGTCCAGGTCCATCCAGATCAGACTTTACCAACCTTATCTTTGATGAGGGTCCAAGTGGTATCAGCTTCATCCAGAGTTAGCAAGTGGGGGGTACTAACCAACATGGTGTGGGGTATAGGAAGGATTGGGAAGGGCAGTGACTGCTGCAGGAACCCCAAGCTGCCCAGTTAGATGAGCCCCTATGAGTTGGGTTGTGACCAGCTACAGCATGAGGTCATAGAGGTCTTGCCAGGTGATGGAGGCCTGAGTAGGTATAGTAACTTTCCTAGCCTTCCTGCAGCCTGTGGGCCATACCTTTTTTTGTAGCGATGGAGATTGGACCCAGGTCCTTGCATATGATAGGCAAGTGCTCTACCTTTGAGCATATAGCTCTAGATCACCCCTTCCCAATTCTTCCCACTTTTCCCTTCTCTCCCTCCTCCCCTTCTCTTTCTCATTTGGCACAGTCTTACTGTGTAGCCCTAGGTTGACTCAAACTTGCAGTTTTCCTGTCTCAGTTTCGCCAGTGCTGCTGGGATGTGGTTCATATTTTTGAGTCATCTATCCATCATCTTGCTTTAGGGGAGGAAAAGGCAGGTTTTGTGTGTGTGTGTGTGTGTGTGTGTGATTTGGTATGATTTTAAACAGGAACTTGATTGCCTCCCTGAAACAGTTTGCTGTGAAGTTACCTGTAGATGACTTCTTCATAAGGGTGATTGAGGTCTTCAAGGATGGGGAAATTTGGATATGCACTTATACTGAAAACAAAGCAGTGGTTCTCCACCTTTGTCACACTTTGGAATTACCCAGGGGTTTAAAAAAAAATCACTGATGCCTGTCTCTTATTTCCAAAGATTCTGATTTAATTGGTCTGGGGTGTGCCTAGCCATACCAACTTCTAAGAGCTCATGAGGAAATTTTAATGTGCAGCTTACATTGAAGCCCACTTTTTAAAAACAACTTTATTTGTGTGGTACTGAGCAAGTACTCTGTTACTTGAACCTGACCCCAGCCCTTTTGACTCTTACGTTTTTTGAAGAGGTGGGGTTTTGTGCTTTTGCCATGGGCTGACCTCAGGCTCTGATCCTCCTACTTGGATTCCTGGGTGGCTGATATTATCTTGCTTTTTTTTTTTTTCGCCAGATGGATGAAACTTGAACTCAGGGTCTTGTGCTCTCATTTGTCTTTCTTACTCGCAGCTTGGACTCTACTCCTTGAGCCATTCCTTGAGCTACCATTTTGCTGATTAATTGTAGGTGGCATCTCATAGGCTTTTCTGCCTGAGCTGGCTTTGAACCATTGTTCTCCAGGTCTCAGCCTCATGTGAAGCTAAGATTATGGGCATCAGTCACCAGCCACTGGCATCATCTTGCTTTTTTGTGATAGGATCTTGCTAACTTTTGTCTGTGCTGGCCTTGAACCCACAGTCTTTTTCTTCTTCCAAATAGATGGGATTACAAACATGAGCCACAGTGCCCAGTGAAGCCTATATTTAATGGGTGGATTGTAATGCAGTAAAAGCAGGCATGTGTGTAGGAGGGTGTCATGCTGAGCAGTAACTATGTGGAGAGTAAGAGTCTAAGTGGAATAACGTTGCCTTAGTAACTGGTGAGAATTTTTAGGAAACCATAACATTTACTCAGGTAAATTTTAGAAAAATTTTCTTCACTCCCTGTCTTGGTCTGATTTTTGTGTAGTAGTTCTCTCCCATTGCAGCTCTTATCTATTCATTATTTCCTATATGTCTCTGTCTAGAGATTTCTGCTTAGTGTTTTTCCAGAGATGAGTGGTTTTTCTCCATTCTAAACAGTCTTTTTAGGAGCCCTTTTCCCCTGTGTGGGGCCAGCTTGTAGAGCTATCTGCAAAGATGGTTATCATCTGAATGAGGAGGTTTGAGTGTGGGCCACAGAGAAGAGTTCTACAGTGATGGGAAAGAGTGTTGTCAAGACTTTTCCAGGAGAAGGATTAATATCATACTTGTTGAGCTCTTATGTCATAAGGTCTGGATGCATTTATCTTTGATAATCCTCTTAGGAACCTCTCCAAGTAGGCACCATTATTATTTCATTAATAACTGAAGAAAAGGTTCCCAAAAGGTAATTAGTCCAAGTCATACAGTAAGTTAATAGAGGATCTAGGATTCAAATGAAAGTCTGCTTGATTCCTGCTTAAATAATGAAATTGTAATTGTTTTTGGTGAAGAGAAAAATAGACATGTTCTTTCAGCTCATTTTAATGTGTGGCAGAAGAGGTACACATTAGATGGAAAGAACATAGTGGTTTGGTGGGAAGGAAATAGACAGGGGAAAGAGAAGCCACAACAGAGAGATCAGAAGCCTCAAATTTCTTAAGACAAGCGAAAACAAGTTCTTTCCTTCTTGTGCCATTTAGTACTTCTTTATTTTTTATTCTTTTCATTTTTAAATGGTGCTGAGGATCCAGTCCAGCCAAAGGCCTTATGTGTGCTTGGCAACCATGCTCTACCACTGAACTGTGACATATATATCCATACATCTCTAAGCCTGGGCCTGGGTGGTTGTCCTAATATTTATCACAGGCTAGCCTTGCACATACTGCAGCTCAGGAAGGCTTCAATCCCTCTTATTTTTGTTTTCCAAGTATGGGGGGATTTCTGGCTTGTGTCATGATATTTGGCTTAGCACAATTTTTATTTTGGCTGGCCACTATACAACTTAGTGTTATATAGTTGCTGCCTATGTTCTTTATAGAAGGGAATTCCAAGTAAAAAAGACAAAGGTAGAAGAGAAAAACATATACAAGAACTAGAGATAGAGGCAATTGAAGGAGGCAAAGATACAGAAGTAGAGAGTGGGGTGAGGAGCAGAGGCAGAGAACGATGTACATGCAGACGATAGGAACCCAGAATGAAAGGGGGTGGGGGAGTAGATGAGGGAAAAGTGGATTATTGGTGAGATAAGATGTGGAGGATGTCTACAGAACTTTGGTTCATAGAGATAGACTCAGATGGAGAATAGGCTACTGATGAACTCCTCTGCCAGAACCCCATATATCATTTTTTTTCTTGCTTTCTAATTCACATAATTTTCTAGGCTTCCTAAATTTCATATGGTCTGTGCTGACATTAATTAAGTTTGCCTTTACTTTTGGCTCATAGAGTCTGAGACTGAATGATCCTGAAGGAAACTTGTTACAGCTGAGTGTGGACTGGCTGTCATCATATCTTGCTGCTGGGGTTGCACATTCTGGGGACTCCTTGACAAAGAGGCACTGGCTACCTGTAGGATATACATTATGAAGATGATCTGACTGGGGAGCTTGTGGATAACAGATGGGGTTGTTTATCCAGAGAGCATGTGGTACTCTGCACACGGCTCTTGGGTCGTATAGAATAATGCTAACAAGACTTTAGAGGAAATGGTACTATGGCTCAAGTAGTAGAATGTTAGCCTTGAGCAAAAGGAACTGAAGGACAGCACACAGGCCTGTAATCCTAACTACTCAGGAAGCTGAAATCGAGGATCACAGTTTGAAGCCAGCCTGGGCAGAAAAGTCTCCATGAGACTTTTATCTCCAGTTAACTACTCAGAGACTTGAAGTAGTGCTGTGGCTCAAGTGGTAGAGCGCCGCCTTGAATAAAAAGAGGCTCAGGAACAACACCTAGACCCTGAGTTCAAGCCCCTCAACAAAGAAAAAAAAAAGAGTTTAGAGTGGTAAAGAACTCTTAATAAATCTTATCTCTCAGGTTGCAGGGATAATCATACAGATCCTTCTTCATACCTTATTTGAAACTTATAGTTGAGAACTTGTGAGATTATAGGAAGGGAATATATTCATATATTAAGAACTACTCCAGTGGGATTCAGGGAAGTGCTCTGTAATTAAACACATCAACATTTTTCTTTTTCAGTTAATGTATGGATATTTGCATTAAATGAGACAAAGACTATAAATAGGATCATAATGGCTGAAGTCAGGTTTTAGACCAAAGTTATGGAAAAAAAACCCGCTTATTTCTTCAGAGATTTTTTTTTTGAATTTTGAAATTGCAGGTAAATGAACTGTCACACAGTTAATTTTTCTCAGGCTTTTATGAGGAAGGAAAGAGTACTGGAAAAGCTTTCTAAACATATCATGTGGTAGGTATGTATTGCAATCTCAATCCAGAACAAAATATGAATTTTCAACTGTGTAGTTTTGGCTTGAAGGAAGAAAGTTCTTGCAATGGACAACGTACAGCTTTGGAACCAGCTACCTTGAAGTTGTGCACAACCAGTGGTTGAAGGTGCCTTAGAAGAGTCTTCCTGTGGGGGGGAGGATGGTGGATGCATTGCTTATGAACATTGGCTGCCCGTGATTTCCCTTTTCATGTAAGAGGGGGAAAATGGTGTATGTATACATATGTGTGACACGAGATAATCACACAGGAATTTCTTTATATTTCTTTATAATGTTGTAATAAATATCTTACTGCATATGTGTTTGCTGACATCTCAGTTATTTTCTCAGGATACATTTATTAAAGGAGACTCATGAAGAGGACATGGACATCTTAAACATGATCCATTAGGATTAATTGTTGTCACAAGTATACACAAAATCACTGCTTAGAGGGTTTTTTGTTTTGTTTTGTTTTTTAACTCAGAAGTTCAGAAAAAATAAAAGTCTTGAGAATGAATGAACTCCTACTTGGGTTGACTGTAGATATTTTCCTCATTCATTTGGGTTCAGTATGACCACACCTGAAAACCATGCCGATCTGGGCCATCTCTTCACTTGCTTGTCTGTAAGGATCTGGTGAGACCCTTGCATGATCCTAGAGATGGCATGATCTGCTTTCTTCAATTCTGCAGCTGCCTCTTCTGTTTGGTGACCCATGATGCTTGCTCCAACTATTTGAGCTGCATGAGCTGGGTGTTCCTGGTTCAGGTTTTCATGGCTAACACAGGTATTGACATGTGGTAATAAAGGTTTTCTTGGAGCTTGGGTCTGCCTGTGCAGACTGCATCAGACCTATCTGTGACTCTTCTGTATGAGCTTATACTCATTTTGAACTTTCTGATATGAAAGACTGTCCTACAACGCACCTTCCATTGTATAATCTTAGCTGAAAACCCAGTGTTAGGTAATATCCTGACACTTCCTGTTTGCTTTATAGTTTGTCATCTACAGCAGTGTGAAATATTCCTTTTTCATCATATTGAACCAACATGGTTGCTTACAGTGACATTGAGAGTACAGATACAGGTGCTGATGGGAATTATATTGGAGGCATTTATATTCTTGTTCAAATTACACAGAAAGGCAGTAGGGAAGCAGTCATTGTGACGACTTCAGGCAAGGAGGTTTTGTGGTTATCTGGGATATTAATTTATTTTTTCATTTGGGACTCCATCTCAAGTGGCAGGCCTAGAGAATGATATTCTGTTCTTTCTTGTGGCTTTCGGGGGGGGGGGGGAAGTGGGGATAGGGAAAGATTGAAGATTATCTGAACAGGGGATGTTTTTAAACCCATGTTCTATTTAAATTGGTATGACAGGGCACACATGCAGAACATAGAAGATGAGTCTGTATAACCTTGAGAACAGGCTAAAAAAAGAAATCTGGCCCCAAGGTAGGGAAGGCTTTGATCCCAGACTAGGACCCAAGCATTTTACACCAGAGGTAGTTTATCCTCTGTGGGAGTGCTAAGTCTCCACATTTGGGATTGGTAGAGGAGTTAGGCAGATACAGGTTTAAAATAATGGGCTGCGTATTGTGGCGGGGGGTGGGGGGGTGGGGGGTGGGGGGAGGGAGGTTATTAAAGAGATTTCAGTTCGATCTTACGATCTCCACTTTAGGTTCTTTATCTTCCTAGTTTCCCTGTATGTTAATGTGTAGTTCCCTGTCTCTACCTCCTTCCAAGCAGGACACATGGCTAGGCTAAAGTCTACAGATGCCAGTGGGGGTGTCATGGAAATATCTATTGAGTGATTATCACAGTCATATACATACAACAGAACAGACAGCATAACACACGTAGGCTCCAAGTAAACCTTTCTCTATTCCTAGGCCCAAATGTTATCTCTGTCCATTAGAATTGGCCTTTTCTGAATGTGAATGTTGCAAGGAGCCGATCCCTGATCTGTTTGGTGCGGGCCCCGTAGATGAGGGGGTTGAGGGCAGGTGGCAGCAGCAGGTAGATATTGGAGAGCAGGATGTGCACAGGCTTAGGAACAGTGTGACGACCAAAGCGATGTGTGAGGTAAGAGAAGAGACCAGGCACATAGAAGGCGAGAATGACACAAATGTGAGAACTACATGTCCCAAAGGCCTTGGCACGGGCCTCCCGAGTTGGCAGCTGAAGCACAGCATGGGCAATGAGCCCATAGGAGCCAGCGATGCCCAGAATGTCCACACCTGACACAGCCAGTGAGAGTGCCAGCCCATACAAGTTGTTGGCCCGGGTGTTACCCACCACCAGCTCTACCACTGCCATGTGTGCACAGTAGGCATGGTGTATGATCTTGGCATGGAAGTACTCAAATCGTGCTACCAGCAGAGGAAAAGGTATGACAATAGCCACAGCTTTCAGTGCAAGTGCCGAGGCAGCGTAGCCTACACGGGCTTTAGTGACAAGGATAGAGTAGTGCAGTGGGCGTCCTACAGCCACAGCGCGATCACAGGCCATGGCCAAAAGCACACCAGACTCCATGGCGGTCAGTGCATGTACAAAGAACATCTGGATCAGGCAGGCAGCGTATGGCATAGGTAGAGGCCCAAGCCATAGCACAGCCAGCAACCCTGGGGCTACAGAGGTGGCTAAGCCCAAGTCTGTGGCTGCCAGTGTAGCCAGAAGTAGAAACATGGGCTGGTGCAGTGCGGAATCTATCCACGTAACTGTCAGCAGTGCTCCATTACCTAGCAGCGCCAGCAGATACATAGGCCCAAGTACCAGTGTTAGCCAGGCCTGGGCACCCCCTAGCCCTGGGATGCCAGTCAGTATGAAGAAAGCTGGGCGTAGGAAAGTACAGTTGGAATGTAGAGTTTCTACCATCCTTGGGGTGAGGGGATGATGATACAGGGCTTATGGGGGCATAATTTCTGATAGAGGAAGGATAAAAGGAGATGTTTGGGAAGTGTCACGATGAAACAAAGCCATTTATGGTAAAGGTATAGATGCAGAAAGGGGCCTGGAACATGACAGGAGTATAACCTTTGCTTGGGTGATTAAGGTCATCCTTTGCTTCTAAAACCCATGAGTGCAATAGGGGAGATGCAGGGGCAGTGATAGGAAGAGGTAGTTAGGAAGCAGATGACTGCTGCAGTGGCTGGTATGGCCGGAGCGCTCTAATTGGAGGTCAGCTGAGGGTAGAGCTGTGGTCAGTGCTCTTCTCCCTCAGGGTTCAAGCGGAGTCACTCTTGGCATTTGTATATGGGTGGTTATCAGGTTATGCGGTTCAATTTTGAGAGGACCCTTGAGCCTCAACTTTCTCAACCCTACAATAAGGGTAGGTATAATGATCTTAAGTGTTTCCTAGCTCTTAAGATTCTGGAACCAACTTTCTAAGAGGCAAAGAGGCAGAATAGAAAAAGTATAATGAAACAAATGGGATCTCGACTGAAGCTAGGAGCCTAGAGTAACAGGAGAAAACTTGGTGGGTTTGTAGATGTGGGATGCTTAGATTATTCTGAAATTGATGCTGAAATAGTAAACAAATACTAGGCAGAGTTAATGCTGTAACAACAGAGCAATGGAGAAAGAGATAGCAGCAAGAAAACAAACTTCCCTTCATTTGTCTTCTTTCATTCTTCACAATCCAGAAGAGGGTTCCACTAGAGTCTCATACCTGAGGTGCCACAGAAGAGGAGGAGGAGGGAGGAAATGGCACTCAACCCAGAGTAGCAGGTACATGAAGAAGAGGCACCTCTGATGTTGGAGGATGCGGGATGAATAGACGGATTCCTAAATGTTGAGCAAGGAAGAAATCGCTAGCAGAAGGTGTGAGCAGAGAAAGATCTGGAGCACTGTGTGTTGGCAGTCTCTCTTCACCTTTGACCAAAGCCTATGGGGCCATTTATGTAGCTGTTTTTATCTGCTTCCCTCAGGATGCTCCTTCCTCCCACTTGTGTCCTGTTAACTCTTCCCTGTTTGCCCTCTGCTCAATGAAGGTGGACTCAGCAATTAACTCAGTGAGTTCAGAAAGGAGGCAAAGAAAGGGAGAAGCAAGCAAAGAGGTGGAGTGGAAAAATTTGGGAAAGAACGCTTTGCTAGGAGGCCTGGGAGAAGGGACTGCATAATTCTTTAATAGAATCTACCCCACTTATTTGTAATTTTGTCTCATCCCAACGAACACTGTCTTCACTTCTTCATAATATCTAGCATGTAGTTGCCTATACATATATTGTTTTCCTTCTTTTTTTTATTAGTAGATAGTGATTATACAAGGAGATTTCATTGAGCTATTTCCACACATGCTTATAATGTCCTTTATTAAATTCACTGTGAAGTTTTTGCATTTGGCTATCGGACAGAACTGCTAGCCTTATATAGCTCATGTGGGCAGCTACAGTTTTAGGAGTCTCAGGTATCCATGGAGAAGAGAGTTATTCACTATCCACTATATGCCAGGTGCAGTGTTTTCCACTATAAAGAAATACCTTTAAAAACACCATAGTATGTCGAAAATTCACTTACAACATTTGAAAAAAGGAGGAGAGTCTAATAAAAATAGTGGAATTACTTTACACATGTGAAATAGAAAGTGTGCAAATATGACATCTTGCCTTGAAAAAGATCTGAGTCTTCTTTGTTGAAATGAGTGTTGAAAGTAGCCTATAAATGACTGTGAAGCAGTATGAAGACTTAATAGAAATTGAGAGCTCTAACACCAAATTCAGATGGGTGTAGTTTATAACCTTACGTGATTGGCTGAGGTGGGTACTAGATGTTTGAAATGTGTACATGCTGGACTTTCCAGCTTGGTTATTTGTGTGCAGTTTTCTTTGTTCACCTTGTTTCTCAAAAATGAAGTAACATGTAAGCAAAGCTGAAGGCCACACGATGTTCAATTCCCTAACATATCAATTGTGTTTTAACTGATCTGCATTTCAAAATCAGCCCTGTGACAAATTGTTTGTTCTTGGCCCTGTGCCATGTAATGAAGACAGTGGTGTACACATATCCTGTTGTTTGAGTGATACCAACAGTTTGTTGGAGGTCAGTAAAAACAATTGCATTAGCTGAGCTCAGGGCCAGTTACCATCGCAGTAAGGGAAAGCCGTCTTCAACTCTTCTTGGGAAGGTCAGTAGAAATGTTCTCTGATCAAAGTAATGACCAACAGTCCTAAAGCATATCTTATATTCATTTACTGCTTAAGACCTAACCTCTCGACAGTCATTCAAGGTAACTTGGATGAGACAAAACCTTTCCCCCTTTTACAAAGAAACTATAGGCATAGAGAGGTTAAATAACTTGCCCAAGGTCACACACAGCTAGTAATTAGCAAGAGTTAGAATACTAATTCAGACTGGCTTTAGCATATTTTTGCTCAGCCATTAACTTCAATAATTTCAGATTTAGCACATTACTAGTGGTTTTCTATAATAATTTAGGGGAAAATTGTACCTGTTTCTGGGATAAAGCAAGCAACAAATTTTATAATTGGCAGATGGCTCCCAGATTTCCTACTGGGAATTTGTAGGAAGAACTTTTGATTTTTTGGGCTGTGTGATCTCTCAAGGAATGGGGAAGGAATGGAACTCTCAGGAAGTATGAGTAGGACTTTGAGAGCCATGGCTTTATTTTGGCCACAAGAGAATGCTAATGAGACTTTTGGCTGTCTTGAACATTTGCTTAAGTAAATCACAGACCTGTTAAATCCAACAAGGCCAAAAAGGAAGTAATTAAGTTCTTAGAAATCTGCTGTCTTTTGAGTTCCCCACTCTCTAGTGATCTAAGATACATTGAGAGCTTGATCTCTGGAAATTTTCTGTTATTTTCTTAGGTGCTACTGCACACTTCTAAAAGCTCTCTGAGGGGCTAGAAAGGTGGCTCAGTGGTAGAGCGCTTGCCTTGCATGCATGAGGCCCTGGGTTCGATTCCTCAGCACCACATAAGCAAAATGAAAAAAGCTGGAAGTGGTGCTGTGGCTCAAGTGGTAGAGCACTAGCCTTGAGCTGAAGAGCTGAGGGACAGCGCCCAGGCCTAGAGTTCAGGCCCCACGACCGGGCCAAAATAAATAAAAAATAAAAATAAAAAATAAAAGCTCTCTGAACACATGTAGGGGTTCCCTGGCTGGTTTTTCCCTGTGATATTGGAGACAACTTGACACTATCACTGTCACCTTGTGGAACTCTGTGCCAGAGGCTGCCAGGAGGATACCAGGCCTGTGCAGTGGTGGGAAATGTGATGGAAGGAGGAGAGGAAATTCATTTGTTGACTTTGAAATTGATTCTGACTACCACTGTGGTTAATCCAGCTACCAAGACCATCTTCCATTCAATATTGTTCTCAGATATCAATTTCTGTCCTTGTGTCTATGTTTTTCTGCTGATCCTGGAGCAACAGTACATAGAAGTGCGTTATCTACACAGTAGGTTATGGTGTAGCAAACTTTGGTTCCCGGTGGTCTCAAAACTGAATCTTTCTCTAGAAAGTTGTAATGCCAACTCTCAATTGTCAAATCACAATTCTCAGGTCACTGTGAGAGCCCTCTGTGACTACGTCGTCACAGTAGTTGAAGGCTTACCTTTTCTTGATTTCAGGAGCCTATGTAGGTTTCTATTCTATGGAAATGTGGAAGAAGCCATGAAACTACTACACCCATTCTGTATAGCTTTACTTTTCTCTATCTCAGACTTTCTAGTACTTCACTGTTGAGGTTCTTAGTATTTATTAAAGCTCTGGAGGTCTGGGAGTCCCATCCCTGACATAATAGATAAGCTTTCACCAAAGCTACAGGTTTGAGAGAGCAATTGTTCTCCCTCTTCATTATAATAGAATCTGGAAAACTTAACATAAGGTATATTAAATAGGTAGGTTTCATTAGGTAGCCGATGAAGAGAACACCACGTGCTATTTAGGCAGGAAAAGAAGTTAATTTACCGAACTGCTGCCCCCACCATGCATGGTGGAGAAGCATGGCTGAAAAGGGAAAGGGGGGGGGGAAGGGTGGAGGGGGGAGGGCCGGGGCCCTCTGGGCCAGGACTTATCTAGGCCAGGGACAGGAAGAGGTGTGGCCTGGTGGGGGAAAGGTGTGGCCACACTGGATCTGGACGTGACCTCAGGGTCTGGGACCCTCCTAAGGTCAGATGGGAGGCATGTGACCAGAGGTGGCCCAGGATGTGACCTAGTAGGAGGAGAAGGTGACTGCTTCCAGGTCTGCCAGTTACCTAGGTAACAGATACTGGGCAGAAACTTAGCCAAGAGGTAGGGAGGTGTCCCTGTTCAGACCTTACACTTAAGTTCTAGTAAGGGTATGGAAGAAGTCTCATCTAGTGTTTACAAACCCTCTTGTGATATTTGCTCTCCCTATATATTTCTTCTTTCTCTGCAAAAGAGTCACAGAATCTCTGTGACATAACCTTTGACCAAATTCGTCCAGTAACCTCTTGCAGGCTGAATTCACAGTTGCTATCCCTGTCTCCTAGGCAACACTGTTGCTGTGTGCTTAGATTAAGACACTGAAACCCCTCAATGTATCCAGTAGTTCTTGTCCCTCAATGAGAGGCAGGGGAAAAGTGCTTCTTTTCTTTTCTTTTTTTACCAATAACGATGGAGGAGATGAGTTCCAGAATTGTTTTCCAAAGCCTTTTCTTACTGAAGATAAGTAGTTCCCTGTAAGTGCTCTTCCGCATCCAGAAGCGAAGCATTCAGAAGCTCCTAAGTGAGATCAGATCAAGTCCATCTCTCAAGACATGAATTTCTCTGAGGTACTACATAGTGCCTTTATCTTTTCTCCTCTTAGCTCCCTTCCTCTTTATAAACTGACCCTGCAATGGGTGAGTCTTACAATGAAGAAAGTATTAATAACATTGACAGAATTCAGCAACCA